TTTGATTTATTGAAATCTTGATTTTAAAAATAATTCAAAATATTTTCATTTGAAATTGTCTTTTTAATCATTTATTATTTTATGATAGACAAAAAATTTTGTTAACTTTTGACAGAATAAAATAGAGAATACTAAATAAAACAATGTTTATCTCAAACATAACCAAATTTGATTTCTACAAAGTTACGATTGTCTTAAAGAATTTCTGTTGTGGAACGAACCTATTACCGAATGTATTCGAAATACTGAATTGTTTAGTTCTGGCCATGCCTGGGGGCTTGTATTAGGGTGAAAGACACAAATTAGCGTTCTATAGTATTCAATACAATATTTCTCTTTGCAGATCATGAGGGTGAAGCTACAGACACCCTCCAGCACCCAACTTGCGGCTTTCAACCCAATCGTTCCATCTCCTCCGATAACCCAGATCATGGTGCTTGCTAACCCTAATAAGGTGATTTTTTTTTGTGAAATATCTTGTTATGTTTTTGTCAGGATGGGTAGGATTTTTATGTTTTAATTAGGGAGAGTGAAGGCGATACAGTGAATTAATCATTTCGGGAACCACTGCCTCTCATACCAGTTACCAGTAGACTGTATATCCTCGCATACAGGTCGATCCTACAAATCGTAATAGATTAAAACAACGGTGGGGCGCGCCTCACAACATCGTAGACAATTTTTAAGGGGGTAGGGCGTGAAGCCAATAAAAAATATTTGTGAAATTTGATCTTGCCGGTCTATTTTTGGAAATTTGCATTTCTTTGTTTTGGATATTCATTATTTTCAACGTGTTTTTTGAAAAAAAACATACTTTCTTTCGCCTCATCATCTTTAAAAGTTTTGAGAATCACTGGTCCAGAATTTTCTATCACATAGTTATAATCAATTTCCAATATTCGATTGTTTCTTACTCATTTATAAACCTGGCAACCTTGTTTTCACAGAGAGAAGTAAAGATGAGGTTTAAACTTGACTACAAACTTGATGAACAAACATCTGTTTCTGAGACCGGAGAAATCACAGGATTTCCACCGTTTGAGAAATGGGGATGCTTGTGATGCTGTTTACATATTTTTATTATCAAATTATGCATATTTGAGGTACTTCTGCTGACTATGGTTGAAAGAGCGCTATGTTTAGCATATATTGAGTAAGAATGTCCATATTTGATTGTGAAATTTGTATATTATTTGTGGGCCTGATAGCCTATCGCAGGGCTACTCAACTATTTTCACCAAAGGTCCGTTTACGAAACTTCAAAATTACAGGGGTCCGGACATTACAGAAAATTTATTTCATCAAATAAACGAAACTTCAAATTCAATATTAAATTAAATTCAAGAACAATGAATGGCTCGCAAATATGGACACAAATATCGCACATCGGTACCAGTACGACAAACTGTATAGCTGTGTATTTAAATTGTATGAAAATCATTTAAAACTATAAAACGATGCTTATGCTGCTAAAATAAACAAGCAAACACGGTCCAAATTTTATGGTCGAAAGTTCCGGATTCGGACCGCGGTCCGCCAGTTGAGTAGCCCTGGCCTATCGGATAAAGTCATCCTAAATATTGCAGGTTAAAAATCTCTGGGTTCAAATCCCATGCCTTCCACTTTGGGTGTAACAAATTGAGTAGGCAAGGCTGAATCGAAAAAGTTCCACAGAAACTAGTCTTCTCCTTCAGTGGCGTATCTAGGGTGTGGCAGCCAAGGCGCGTACCATGGACGCCGTTTGAATAGGGGCGCAGAAAAGGCGAAAAATATTAATAATAAAACGTTTCAATGAAATAAATTCAAATGGGGAATAACTGAAACTCGTATTTTGACTCAAATAATACCGTAGAAGTATCCTAATTCATTAATAATCATTATAAATTGTCAAACAACTATCGGGGGGCGCATTTTTAGACTTTGCCATGGGCGCCATTTTAAGTAGATACGCCACTGCTCTTCTTATATATCTGTGATGGCCTGTACATGGCCTTGTTTATATCAAAAGACACGAATATGTGTCAACAAAATTTCAAACAGAAACTGGCATGCTGGCAAGTCTGTGTTGGAGATTTCCATCGCGATTAAATTAACTTGAAAAGCACATCAAAAGTACTGGAATTCGAATTCGCTAGTATTTACATCTCAGATTAGCTTTCCATCAGTGGCCAGAGTAGACACATAAAAATGCTACATAAAAAACTTACCTGTTGATAAAAATTAACCGGTTTGTAGCGAAGCCAACATTATCTTTCATTCAGCAATTATTGTGACAAAATAGCTGTCACTTTACCGTAGGCGCGTCGTTCAATTTATTTTGCATTTTTTATTTTACTAATATATTACACAGGTTCCACGTCTTTATTGAGATCTATGGTTGTGATTTGCCATAGGATTGAGCCACCTTAGTCCTTATTGGCTTCCTTTTCTCCTGGGATAAATTACAGCAGTGGTTCCTCACCATTTATGGCTCGTGGCTCCCTCCCGGAGGCTTTTAGTACTCATGGCCCCTCATTTATCATTCCAGTGGTATTTATAGTGTTATTTCGATTGGTCGATTCCAAATCCCATTATGTTCAAACAATTCATGCTCAACAAAGTGAAAACACCCTGTGAAATAATCTTATCAAACAGTGAAACTAGGAAGAACGGGAAGTTTCTTCTGAAGAGAAGCAATGTGCCTTTTTTCTTAGGTGTTGAAAAATAGAAATATTCGCTAAATCCTTTACTGTTACCGCTTCTTGGTTGGCAAACAATAGCATAGTATTGCTGTAGCAATTTCGTTATCTAACTCAAAATACTTTGGTAGATGGAAGGGATAATATGTCTTCTATTACCACTCAAAAAACACCGAAATTTGCATAAATTTCAAAAACACTCCCTCGTTCCGCCACAAATAAAATTCCCGTCATAACAGAAAGTGAGATTTACCGTCGCTTATGTTAATCTCGAAGAAGACTTCTTATCAATAAACTAAAACCCGGAAAAACTAGACCAACAGTTTGCGACCGATTGCTAAATAAAACAGTGGAGTACATCAACGTACCCGCCGCAATCTAGCGAGTTTTGGTGTGGGTACGTATACGTGCCCACCGCACGGAAAGGGTTAACCTTGTAATATTATTAGAAATTGGTTAAAGTTCTTCAAATTTTCCAGAATTACCTAGAAGTGTGCCAAATTGTGAAATAGTATCAATAACCTTTCCAGACCAATTTTAAATAAAAATGGATGTCACTGCTCACATAGTATGTTATAAACAATGTTCCACAGTGTGTTTTTGTTCAATAATTTACCCAAAATTTATTTATGACCTTGCGATACGAGTTGCCACATTTTCTGTGCCCATTATACCATGGGTCATTTTAGCTGCTTCCCTTCAATGCTGTACACCCTAAATGTCTTACAATAATTCGTCTGTGAAATTAATTAACTAATATCAGTCTTAGATTATGGTTGCCACAATTTTTGTGCTTATGGGCCGTTTTAATGACTTCCCTCCAAGCCATTGACCTAACACATTTAAAACAGTCTTTCTGTTAATGAATCAGATTCTTGTATGAATTTTTCCATGTATTTCGAAACTAGACTTGATGACTTTTAGAGCCAAAATATTGGTAGTTTGGCGATTATGTTTTATTTTGAATTATCTGCTAACTTCCCAAAATCTACTTGTGGGCTTCTTTCTATAGGCCCCATTAGCTTTTTCTAGCAATAATTCACTATAATCATATAGGGTGGCCAAAAAATAGAACCCAGGCCATTTGGATCATATTCTATAAAGAACATAACTTTTGTGCAAAAATTCTTAGATTACTGGAACTTTTGGGTACAATCATGCACACATTTTCGTCATTTTGTAGAATTAATTAAGAAATTAGGTTTTGTTTTCTGGGTCCCCTGTATTTCATTTTGTATTTGCCATCAAAGACCAAATACTCAAGGATTGATGACATTTTCATCTTCATGGAAAAGCTCTTTATGATTCAATAATGTCAATATTGTATAAAGAATAGGAAAATTTGATTTGTTTATGATGCAATAGTTGTATATTAGGACTACAATGCTTGTATAAATTGCTCAATTGTATGTTATTGATGATCTAATAAAGTATATTACCCTTTACTCTTGATTTATTGAGTGCGTGATTTGTTTATACTGTTAAAGGAAGGTTCTGGTAAATAAAGTTTTAGGGTGAAACATATTGAGAATGATATAAAATACCTAGGTTTATCCAGTGGTGGGATTCAGCCGGTTCGCACCGGTTATATCGAACCGTCTCGCAGAATTTTATGAGATCAGCGAACCGGTTAGTATTACTGGTTACTGTCAATGTTCTGTTTGGAACAGAACCGGCTGAAAAATATGACTTTTGTGATGGAACCGGCTGACAAAAAACTTTAATCCCACCGCTGGGTTTATCATTATGTGTGATGATTAATGAAAGTTTAAAGAAAGGACTATAACCACGTTTTGGGCTTGGACGCGTTGCGGTATGTTTGAGGAAAAGTAAGTGAAAAACACGATGAGATGGCCTGTCTTATCAGGAGTTTAGACTTGAAAGCATTGTGATAACACCTGAACATGAGTGAAAAACATGACACAACCTCCTAACCATGCTCTGAGCTTTGGGAGCATTGTAACTTGAGGAAAAACCGTGAGATAAAGGAATAAAAATATTTAGTACAACCAATTAAATAGAAGAGTGCTCTTGAGAAGAATGGAATATTTTGCGAGAAGAAATACCTTATGAATACTGGTAAATGTTACATATTCAAATTAAAGTAACGATACTTAGACATGGCTAGAGGGGCTAGGCACTAAGACGCCCGAGATATATTGGGTACAAAAAGTACACAATCTTTACAGCCCCGTGAGGCCAGCCTTATCGGGAGACGCTCAAACAATGAACCGCGCCACGAAAAAGAAAGGCCCTCAGATGTGACGTCATTCTTCCGCGCTTTTTTCTAGTAATCATTCGACCGTTGCAAATCGCGGAGCGCTTGTCCCGTTTAGCATCCGGGTTTCCTATCCGGAGAGATAGTTCGTTGAAGCGCCGTTTTTAAGCGTAGAAACTCCTAATTTCATACTCTATGTGGTAAAAATAGTATATTTGGATTAAATGATGAAACCAGAGGGAAAAGGCCGTAAAAAGTCGTTCGTTTGGGACCATTTTCGAGTCTCCGAAATCGACCCCCGGAAGGCGATTTGCAACAGCTGCGGTGCTGAGATGGTTCGAGGTCGTGATGCGAGGTAAGTTTCGTTTGTTTCGTGATTTTTCGATTGCTCCATATTATGCGATTTTATATGTACTTGCTGTATCCAAATCATTTGTTAATCTTGCAATAATTCTGCCGCAAAGCCGTTGTGTATAAAGCAACATGAAGTGGTAAATTGCAATGTATTGTTGCCTCATTTTGCTGGTATTATTGCATTGGTCTGTTGGTTGGAAAGTACAATAGTTTACACCAACGTGTAGATGCAAAACACCTCACTGTTGCCAGTTTTTGAACATACATTAGGAGTTTCTTTTTAAAACAAAATAATCCAGGAATCACAGTACCGTAATATTTGTTGGTCTTCGTTATATGCAGATATGGGAAAATAGGATAGGATTTACATACCGTAAACGCAGGTAACTTCGGATGGTTTGTAACTTCGGATGAAATTTTCAATCGTTTATATCTTGACTAAATTACGTCATATTTTGCTTCTGGCAGTTTCTATAGAGAGTCCTTATATATCTAAATCTGTTATCATATTCAATCGCCTAATCTTATTTATTTTTTGACACGAAAAATCACATTTTATCCAAAAATTGACACCTTGTTTTTAAGCGGCTAACATAGCGAATTCTGTCGACGCTAACTTCACTAAAAGACCGTCAATCGCTAGAGGGCATACACAATGTACAAGGAAAATTACAGTGATCACGAGATGTCGTGTGCGATTCAAGTAAAATATATTATTTTGATTTAAAAATTTCGTCAAAATATCGACGTTACGAGGCTTACGCTGAACGTGACGTCAACAACGTGACGTCAACAACGTGATTCAATTTCGCTCCATTTAACGCCGACGTCACATTGCGTAGCTCGCTGCGACATTTGAACGCCAGACTATGTGGCGCCACGTGCAGTTAAATATAAAGTGAAAGCTCCTACCTGATCCTAGTCACCAAATCCTACAAAAACTTCATTATAGCCCCAGTCATATGCTGTTTATTCATTGTGAATCCGTTTATTGCACATCAAATTTGTGCGTTAATATTTTTGCATTCATTCTCCGAACGTATAGATGTTGTTGATACGTAAGGCTAATGAACAGCCAGTTACGCGTATCTATACTATCACAATGATAAGGTATGTATGTTTACGATGATAATATCTTAAGCGTAGAAATAGAATGTTGCACAGGTGAGCATGAAACTCAGGTGCACTCAGTAGCAGGTCGCAAAATGAAGAAAAGAGTATCAAAGTTTCTATTTGGCGTTTTTATCCGTTTCATGTCATTTGACTTTGTCTATCTGCCTGTGAATACATTATATCTGAATTATGAACACGAGCCACAAGCTACACCGTTCCATATTGTTTTCCATTTCCACTGCCATTTTTTACTACCTATCGTAATTCATCATTCGTTTTATTATTATTTTCATTCGTTTCATTTTTGCTTCGTATTAAAATTGGTTTTCCACTTCCATTTTTACGACTTAGTTTATTCGTCTGTTTTTTTTATTTTCATTTGTCCCATCTCATTTTTGTTTTGTATTAAAACGATCATATTAGCAACATCTAGCACTTTCATGAAATTAAGAATAGTCAGAAGTAAATGGTTTAGTTTTGCGAAATGTCAGAAATAGCGCTGGGCAAAATTATCATAAATTATTACATGCGTTGTATTTTGAAGCATTTTAGCGGTAATAATTATGGCGTGACACTGTCAAAATCGTCGAGTAAAGTGCTGTGTTCGCAAATTCCGTAGATAAAATTGTGAGTTAGTCGGTAACGATTTTAGCTATAATAACCGTCCGGTTATTGTTTTGTCGTTAAAAAACGTTAAAACTTGAGGGAAATAGTTATATATAATTAGGACCAAAGGCCTTATGACAAGTATAAATGCATAACGGCCGATTTATTCAATTATTATTATAAATGAAAATTCAGGATTCGTGCAATCGCAGGTGCAAAGCATAAGAACGTCAATCATCGTCTTCATAAATATCTCCATCCCGGTGTCGCTTTAAACTCGAACGATTAATAATATACAAACAGTGATAAGATCAAAGCCAACACATAAGATAAAAATCAGAATAAAATTAATTTGGGTTTTGAAATCAGTCCTTCTTGTCTTCAAGAGCTGTTGCCGACGTAAACGCACGGGTATACCAGATCAATGACATTAAGCATGCTGCTAATGTCATTGACCAGATATATAAAACTTCAATGTCCGCCGACCCGAAAGAATTAACAATCGGAAAAAAATAAAACGGCCGTCATAGATGAACGTCAGTGTGCGACACGCAAAACGGATCACGGCATCGTAAGTTCTACGCAGCGACGTTATAACGCGTCACTGATCACGCAGACATTTCTCTCTCACGACGAAGTGACGCAAAGCGAAAAGTGGCCATCCGAAGTTAGAAACATTTGGAATACAGATCTGCAGACAAATAAAGTCAATAATTTGAATGAAAAAATGTATTGACTGATATGAAACCGAGTTTATCGTGAAGAGAAAGGCTTCAATGTATTATATTCCAAGTTTGGCTTCAATTGAACAATAAACGGCGGAGAAATTGTTCATAATATAGTGAAATCATCCGAAGTTACCTGCTTTTACGGTATTTATCCCGGGGGAGAGGAAAGGCGATAAGACGGCTTATCCATATGGCGAACCACGGCCTCTCGTCCGGTTACCATTCTGCCATTCCAAATCGGGTATGGGATTAGATTTACTGTATTGTTTTGTTTTCGGAAGCATGGACTTGGAAATATTTTCATCTCCATCCTAAGGGAGGGGAAAGTTACGGTAGTAAGACAGCTCAATCATAAGGCTGGCACCCTATAGTGGTGAGAAGTTGGCGTCCAGCAATGCTCACACATTAACCGCCACAATATGCGAATTACGCAAAGTAATCACCAATTGTGGTTTGCCATATTATGATTAAGCCATCTTATAGACTTTTCTCTCCCTGTGATAAATATGTAAATTCTAATCAGAGGTGCCATGGCATTTGTATTCTGACGAAGCTCAAACACTGTCTTGTGTATTATAAATATATCATGATGGAGTCCAATCCGAATTTTTACTTGACTCAAAACGAAAGATACTTTTTTTCTATCAAGCCTCTTACTGATTATTTTCATTTCCCACAGATCCTTCGGGACATCATCTCTTGCCAATCACATAAAATATTGCAAAAAAATACCACATACAGAAATCACGGCACCACAGAAACGAAAATCTGGTCCGAATATTTGTGTGTTGCTCGACAATTCAACCGGAAGTCAGGATGATGAAAGATCTTTGGTTAAAATTAGAAGGACGATGTCAAAATATGAAGAGCCTCAGGTATCCTCATATTTATTATTTGATGTTTACTCGTGTCTTACACTCCAAACAAAGCCCCAGCAGCCATTGATATCTAATGATCCTTTTTAATTCAAATTTCAAAGATTGTGTTAGCTTGTTAAATAATCCCCCTTTTTATATTACAGTAGCTTTGGAACTGTTATGTGCAATGTATCAAATATTTGTAATTAATTAAGATAAAATCTATAACCAGCCTTTTTTTTCTCATGACACCTGAATATCTTGTCTTAATAGGAATCTTCTTTTAGAGGTCGTTCGACAAAGTTGACCTTGTAGTCTTTCCCGCTTTCTCTTAAGTATATATCATGATTGCTTTTTCCATCTATTGTAATAGGCTCGGCGGTGTGGCGCATCATGCTAAGCGTTAGGAATACGCTCGCCACCGCATCTCTGATTACCCTTCACGCGATCGCAGGTTCAAATCCCATGCGGGGATGATCATGTGCGAGAGGATTGCTGGACTCCTCGCCGCCTGCCGTAGGGTGGTTCACGTAACCGCTGGTCGGTTACGGCTTCCTCCACCATCAAGTCCATGCTTCCGAAAACAAATACCTGGCTAACTAATCCCATACCCGACTTGGAATGGTAACCGGACGAGAGGCCGTGGTTAGCCTTATGAATATGCTGTCTCATCGCCTTTCCTCTCCCCCGGGATAAATATGCAAATCCTATTATCTGTACATTTTTGATTATATTCGAAAATAAATCATTATCTCTCTCTAATGATATGTCATAAGCTAATATTATTTGGAAAGACAGAGTCTTTCAGGTCTGGCCTCGCCCACCCAAATTATCACACTGTTTGTTAGGTGGTGGGCGGGGGGTTTGAACCTGAAATGTGTAATCGCAATTGCAACACATATGAGGTTAACACCTCGACCACTGAGCCGCCACACTTTCTTGTTTGTAACCCTAGGTTTAGGATGACAAGCCATAACTGCATCTCTGATTATACTGCGTTGGTTTTTAGTTAGTATTTATGTTGTTATTTGATTGATAGATTTCAAATGCCATTATGTTCAAACAATTCATGTTCAACAAAGTGAAAACACCCTGTAAGATATCCTTATCAAGCAATGAAATTAGGAAGAACAGAGAGTTTTTTTGTAAAGAGAAATGGAAAATCGATTTTGCGCCTAGCATTGCGGCCCCCCATTTCCAGCTGCTCTGTGGCCCCCGATTGTGAACCACTGAAATAGCCCAAGAAAGCACCTTATAAAAAATATGTGGTGCTCCCGAAGTATGCGAACCAAGATGGTGGACATCGGAACGTAACAGGTTAGGGTTAGGCGATAATTTTTTTTCCAGTTTTCCTTATTTTAAGCCTATTATCAGTTCGAAGACTAGCCAAGAGCCTCCCGTAGTATTTATATCTATAATTATGGCCTAACCCTAACCTAGTACACATATTACATTCCGATGTCCGCCATCTTGGTTCGCATACTTCGGGAGCCCTAAATATGTAATTTGATGTAACATTTTTTATCTTTTTTCCAGCCGTCACAAGATCTGAGCGACATAATTACTCTTCCCAAAATATCTGAGATCTATATTTCTCCTGATGCCAATGATGAGAGATACCAGGTTGCCACTGACAGTGTGTGCTCAAAACGGATGGATTTGGTTCACTCAGGAATGTTGATGCATGTACTGTATCAACAACATAGGTAAGAATCAAAATTTTGCTTTGTGAAGTCGTGCATTAGTGGGAGCAGATAATTTCCTGAGAGATGAATTCCGTTAGAAGCCTATTTATCTTGATTTTAGGATGAAACGGCAAATTTTGTTAAAAATTTTATTTGAAAATAACTAAAAAATAAATGCTTTTTGATCTAGTTTCCTAATAAAAATTTGGAGCGATATTCGTCAAAGTAACTCAATAAAAAGGTATACTGTTTTCTCATTTTCTGAAAATATATTTTTTTTCATACTTATGTCTATTTGGGTTAAAGCCATAAATCTGCTATGCAAGAGACGATAATTATTGTTTTTGCAGATTATCAACTTTTCTGATTAGATGGCTTAATCATATGTAACTAACGCTTAGCACAATGCGCCAACCGCCAAACAGAACATTCAATCCTATTTGGACATCCCTTGTTGTAGACTACCAGTTGCTTACCTACCGGTGCTTTTCAATTCAACATTGAATATAGGAATATACAAATATTATTTTTATTCTCTCTAGATCCGGAAAACTATGCGACCTTACTCTGATATCTTCATCTCAAGTAACCGCAACGTCTGATTCAACAAAGAAAAGGCGACAAAAAACATTCAAGGTATGAATAGTGGATTAAGCTTTGAGGCTATTTTTTCTGAGTGGATTTGCCTGACCTTGCTCAGAGATGAGTCTCCTTTACTTTTATACGAGGAATTAATGAAATATTTTAATCGAGGTTAGGGTTGGATTATGTCTGGGTGAGATAATTCATCAAACACTTTGAGTCAAGAGTGTAGTCAGCCCCAAATTTTTTTTATTTTTTTTCAATTTGTGGGCCATAGCCCCTCCCCCATCTACGCCTCTGCCAGGAGTAGCGTCAAACTAATTTAGATTTGTTTCGCTAATCAATTTTATTGATCCCTTTAGGCACACTCCTTTGTTCTTGCTGGTTTATCTGAAAAAATCAAAGATTTAGTCGAGATGGGATCAAGAACTATAGAACTGAAGGATGTGACGGCGTTTGGTTTGGAAACTTTACTACAGATTGTTTATACCGGGAAACTGAGGAAATCTACACCATTAACGTAAGTGAAAAATTTTAGAAATTTTAAATGCCTCAATTCTTCACTAGCGAACAAAAACGAACTTTGATTTGAATAAAGCCGTATATAGCTTTTTCATGATATCATAAGCTTTATATGAAAAGTTGAATCTAATCAGACGAAACGTTACAGAAATACATTTGTGGTAGTGTACAGCAGGCATTGCTTCTTATGAAAAGATATATGTCATAATAATATACTTACAATATCCGGCATGAAAAAAGTTGCAAACCTTTGCAGCTAAAAATTTTTCGAGTGAACCTTCACACTTTGCTAAAGACATTTCACTTTGCAGTTTGTGTGAAAGAGTTTTATCGGAAGATTTGTTTGGTATTCAACGAGTGTTCGATACTCTATGAAGCAAACTTTGGTAAAAATAGAAGTAAAAAACTAATTTTTTTTCAGTTTCTACGAAGCTCACCAAATCTGGAAATCTGCTTCTGATCTCGGGATCAAATATGTTCACGAATACTTGGCCACTGAACATCCACAGGTGAGAAGTTGTTTAGTTCCACCCTATAGTCATATACAGAGTGTTAAAAAAGTGATGCAAAATTAACAGAAGTTAAAATGAAATGCTAATTAAAACATTCAACGCCCGACACCTTTTATTAACAATATTAAATTACAGTGAAATAGCATTTGAACATTTACGACTGATGGTATTCAACAGTTACTTTGTTAACGTTGCCATGACGAAAAATTTCACCCTAATTTTTTAACACCCTGTATGTCTCAAAGAGAGCAAAGGTGCCAACACAGCCCAATAATATGAGGAACCACGGCCTCCTGTCCGGTTACGAGTCCATGTCAGGTATGGGATTATTTGGCCAGTTATTTGTTTTTGTAAGCATGGTCTTGATGATGGAAGAAGTCGTAACCAACCAGCGGTTAAGTGAACCACCCTACTTCGGCAAGGAGCACAGCAATCCTCTGGCATACAGTTATCCCCGTATGAGGTTCGAACTTGCGAACCCACGCAGGGTAATCAGAGAAGCAGTTGCATATTCCTAACGCTTAGCATTATGCGCCACATCGTCGAGCCCTTGGTGAGATCGAAATAGATCAGGAATGGCCATAATTGAATGATCTAATATTTCGAATACTTTCTGAAATAATATTTTTGAATAACAAATATCGGATTCTGAATTGGGTCTTGTTCATCAAAGAACACATCAATTTATAATTCTTGAGTTTGAAAATGCATTGAGTGGTATTCGATTAGAGCAATGTACTCAAAGAAATTATTTGGTGTGAGTGATAAGGATTAGATTTTCATATCTATCCCGGGGGAAAAGGAAAGCTGATAATACAGCTTAAATATATTGTGAACCACGGCCCCTCGTCCAGTCCTTGTCGGGTATGGGATTAGTTGGCCAGTTATTTGTTTCAAATGCATGGAATTTACCAGCGGTTATTTGAACCACCCTGCAGCGGTTAAAGGTCTAACAGTCCCTTCGTAGTGGATATTCGACTTTGGCAGACCCTCGTCAGCCAGTCAGACAAATTGTTAAACCATCCATGTTTCCCATCTCACTTGAGCTTTTTAAACACAGTCATTCTTTTCACAGGTAACAAAATGGATAATTGAGGACTCGATGGTACCTGAACCAATGAAAGCTTTCACTATGCAGGACTTAACAGAGACCCATGAGACGGAAGATCTGGTTGACTTGCATGCTGGACATCAAGAACACGAGGTTTGGATTTCTTATACCAGGAAAAGCAAACTACAGGTCGCGAGTAGCTTTGTGTGCGCGCTCCTCGCTGGCCTGACGATGTGCCGCATCGTATTAAGCCTTAGTAATACGCTCGTCAACATACCACTGATTACACTGCGTGGGTTTGCAGGTTGGATTACCATGTATGGTAAACAATGACAATGGAGAGTGCTGGACTCCGTGTTTTTTATATGACACCTTTTCTCGATTTTGCTCCGAACGAATGTAAAATGTCATGTAAAAAACACAAATTTTTTTTCTCATAGTACATTGAAATGGTGGAAGGAGAAGCGCCAGTTAAAACATTTGAAGATTTTATCGAAGAGCACAATCAACAACAACAACAATTTGAGACAGAACAAATCAAACAGCAACAACAAGAAATTGAGGTGCAAGAACAACATCAAGAAGAGGAGCTCCAGATCAGTGAACCTATCGAAGAAACCAAAACAGAGGATCCGCTTGTGGAAATCACTTTCGAAAAATCATAACTAATGGTGTTTGGGCGTGAGGAGAGACTAATGATAGAGGAGGGGAAACTCCCTAATCCTGAAGGCAAAATTTCCGTAACTTTAAAGCCAGGAGTACTTTTGAAAAGAATCTGAGCTTCGAGTTTAGCCTTACGGTGGGGGAGAGATACCTAAAGAGACATACCCTAATCAGGACCTAATAAAAATCTTATGTTTCCCTGTGGACTCTGAATTATGGGGTAGTGTGATGTTTTTTCCCACAAAGAACTTTGAAATGATGGTTGCTGTACAATTCAGTTAGGGGGGGATTTTCTCATTTCTATAGGGGAGCAATACCCATTTACCCCAACCAGTACCAGAAAAAATCTTATGTTACCCACGGGGACTCAGAATTATGGGGCAGTTTGATGTTCCTCTAAAATACTTAAAAGACAATTGCTGAACTGTACAATTCAGTAGGAGAGGACTCCTTATTTATATAAGAAATCTTTTATCCTTCCCCAGTACCAGTAGATATCTGTACTTTTTATCACTTATTGAGTATTTTTCTTAGCGACAGCTGTTCCATATTTCCCATACAGCAAGCTAGAGATAGATCAGGGGATCTCAAGCCTTTGGTGTTAAGTTGACTATTATTGACGGATCCCTGCTATAAATTTATAAAAATAAAAACGAAATGTACATTGTTATTCTATGAATAATGTTTTTGGGTAATTTACACATAAAAGTCATTTCTAGTTCGAAGCAACTGTTGTCAAATTTTACAAATGCAGGTATTGCTTCTTCAGACATTTACAAAATTAGCCAAAACAGTATTTTAATAAGTAAATGGGTTCCATTACATTTGAACCCACGTACATTTGAACCCATGACAATTGTACCTGTATGCTATTGCACCTATGGAATTTTTATTGTTTCGTGGCTAGTTAAACCCATACTAACCCTAACCCATGGGTTTTAGCACCCGCATATAGATTGAACCCGTGGATATACACATGGGTTCAAATGTACGGTCACCAAGTAAATGAGTAGCTTGTGAAGCTTCTATGCTCCATATGGAGAACTTTGAGAATCTATGGGATAGACATATTTTCGTTATTTTCCAAGAGGGAAAACGAGGGAATAAGCGTTTAAAGCCCCCACACCTAGACAAGTATAATAAGACTCTCTTCATTCCAAGGTTTTTATTATTGTAATATATATTCAAAGTAAAATGTGTTTCAATTTTATTAAAGTCTGTTAAAAAGGTTATTTGTAAGAAGGGCTGGGAAGGTGGAGAATAAATATGTACACCCGGCACCAAATATATGGAAACTCCTTGAGGTCGGGGTAAATTTGACTTAACGTGGTTATTTGGACTAACTTCATGAAAAGCCGAATTTGGATGAAACTTGGGCACGAGAAAGCTTTCATATTGGGCGGTTTGCAAACTTGCTGCTTTTGCATGGGTCATTTTTTGACCAGGAGTTTAGTTTGGTTACAATAAAAGTCAGAAAAGATGCCACTGATTAAGCTAAAATTGGCTATCAGGTCGTGGTTGAAAATTTTAAATCAAAATGGTAATGAAGCATATAAACCAATTTGTAAGTGCTAATTCGTGAAAACACTTTCCAAACAAAAAATTAAGATTTTGAAAATGACGAGAAAAGAGGAAAAAATGCTTTTGAGGTCAAGGGTGGGTCGACTTCATTCTGGCGGGCTTACTGACCAATACCGCCCTCTAGAGGTGAAATGTTGAGCCACTCAAATCAGACTTTTGTACCAGGTTTGAGAAATCGGAGTTTTCGAATATTTTGTGTGCGGCAAGTTGCTAGCAATACAACCACACCACTGTCCCGTTACATGTTGTAGAAGTCGATTTATCAAAACATAGGGAGGGTTTTCGTCTTGCTTGATCAATACACTTTTTCGCTGGCCGCAGGTTGCATACGCGTCATTTACAAAAGGGCTACTTAACTGGCGGTCCGAATCCGGACCTTTCGACCATTTAAAATTGGAACCGGTCGCTTGTTTATTTCGGCAGCATAGGCATCGTTTGGTAGTTTTAGATGATTTTATACAATTCAAATACACAGCTACAGTTTGTCGTACTGGTACCAATGTGCGGGTCTCATGTAGTTTCTTACCTAACATACTTCTAGTGGGCGTAACATGACAATTTTTTTACATATCAATCCTAACCCCCACCTGACCACATCATCCAAAAATTACGTCACTACGACGTCACAGTGACGTAATAGAGCCCTTCAAACTATGCGAACTGTCATCCAAGACGCGCAGACGAGAACCCGAAATCGAACAGCCATTTCTCTCGTTTTCTCGTCGCAACGATCCCGATAGGAGAGAGGTCGCTGACGTCAGTCAGTTCTTCATCGTCGGCGCCGATGCTATTTTGGGCGATCGTACGAGTATTTGACAAGCTCTATGACGTGATTGTGACGTCGTAGTGACGTAATTTTTGGATGGCGTAGTCAGGTGAGGGTTAGGATTGGCATGTCAAAAAATTGTTATGCTACGCCTACTAGAAGTACGTTAGGTACGAAACTACACGAGACCCCGATGTGCGATATTTGTGTCTATATTTGCGAGCCATCATTTGCCGTTCGTTTATAGTGAAATAAATTTTCTGTAATGTACGGACCCCGGTAATTTTGAAGTTTTCTATACGGACCTTTGGTGAATATAGTTGAGTAGCCCTGATTTACAACATGGTATTGGTATGAGTCTTGCTACTATAAGATGGTTACTGTGGATTTCGACGCCGTTATCCATTCGCATACCTTCATAAAGGCTAAATGTATTTTCGCTTATCGTCTTCTTATATGGCTGTTCGAAATATTACCGTTATATGTCTATGAAGGAGTCAGACGTACTTCAAAAAGTTTGAGATGGAGCACAGAAGAACACAATATGAATATAATAATTTTTTATATTATGAAAAATTCTATATAGAGTATTTATCGAGCAAGACGTTGAAAATTGCTGTCTAAAACGGCTTCGTGTCAATTGAGTTGCGCCTGAAGATCGATGTATCAAAATGTCGCAGTGCCGTGGGCCTTTTTAAAAGCTATACAAAATGACACGACTGGAAAATCCATTTGAATGGTCGAATTTATCAATAAAATATAAACAATTTTGAATAATGACAACGTAAGACTTTTCAAAAAATTTTGTGACATTTTCCCAAAGAACACCGTAATTCTATTTGACCAAATTAATATTAAAAGGTAGGGCGTCTCGGTGTTTCAATTACGTCGCAATATTTCAAAAGTGTTGGCTAAGTGATCGCTTCAGAATTTCTGTTTGTATGGAAAATTTCTTGTCAAACAAAACAGATATAAGTACATTTCTTCTTGATGATCGTCTGTTGTCTCCTGCTATGGATAATACTGATACAAGCAGGCAATCATCACCACGGCAAACAACTGAAAAAAAAAAGTTTTTGGTAAATGAATTGGTATTTCGAATTAATCTTGTGGCCTCGACGCATATAGTTAAGGAATTCCGAAATTAAATATGCACAGGCATATATTGTTTTGGTAGGATAGGACAGGAATCAGAATAAGATTCAATCATATGGCGAACAACGGCCGCTTGTCCGGTTACCAGTCTATGTCGGATAAAGGAATTAGTTTGCCAGTTATTTGTTTTCGAAAGTAGCTCTTGAGTTGGCACCTCCGTATTCGCCCGTACCTTTGCTCAGAAATGAATTTCCTCGTTCGGCGATAAATCTAATTCACATCAGAGTGGGTGCGCATAATGCACCTCAATAATTCTAATTAGTAGTTCAGTGATAGCAAGTAACTTTTCCCAAAGATGATTCCCCTTAATTCTGAGACGAAATTCTCGTAAAAAAGTGGAACAGGATAGGTGTTGAAACGGCGCTCCAGAAGTCTGCGTACCAATTTATTCGTCTATTTTACATCAAGTTGTGTAAAGGGACTCAAACTTATGGGTAGGGGTATATTTAATTGGCTAACACAGACACTCCCCGAACTCGTAATAGAACTAAAATGAGAAAAATCAGAATAAAATTATGGCCAACCTTAACCTGGTACACACACTACGGGAGTACCGTTGAAACGGCATAATTATATGGCGTACCACGGTCTTTCGTCCGGTTACCAGATCATGTCGGGTTTGGGCATACCGTAAATGCTCGTTTTGACGCCCGGTCTTGATTAAGGGCCCGTTTGAATAGCCACCCGTGTGAACAGGACATGAAAATAAATAAGGGCCGGTGCTTGAATACCGGCCCGGTGTAAAAGTTTTTTTTTTTTTTTTGCGGATTTGTACCGTAGAAAAAGCGTAGAAAAAGTCAAAATTTTCATTATTCTTGTTTAAATCATACTTGAGAACTGGAAATGACAATATACAGTATTAATTATTGTAACGATCGATCTTATCTACCGGTATTTTTGTGTGTAATTTTACTTTAAAAATAACAAGCGCCCCTGCTTGAATAAGGGCCCGGTTAGTGAGTATGTTTAAAAAAATAAGCGTCCGGGCTATTAAACGAGCAAATACGGTATTTAACTGATGGCGGAAAAAGATTAATACACTTCCATACTTACTTCTATGATAATAATCGCCACAGCGGTTCCACCGATGCCATAATAATATTTCTCAAGCAGATATTCGCAACCCTGTGACAAGATAATGAAAGAAAATGTTTATGAATTTAATAAGTAATGAGTTCGACTAAACAGTCGAAAGCGTAGCCAGGCAATTTTGGAGGGAGGGAAATGGAGCTAAATTTATTTTTGTATAATGACGGAATACGACGCTGACTCGTCGTTAATTTGGTGAAAGGATTATTGATAGCAAGCCAGGGAACGTCCGGTTTACAGTAAATCTTTCAAGAATAGAGCAAAATCGTGTTGGAAAATACGTAAGAATTTATGTCTTTCTGCAAATGCCGCAAAATTGCATTTAAAAAAATGTTGAACATTTTTTGGGGGGCTTGTTCCTTCAGCCCCCTGGCTACGCTTATGTTGACTCCATATGCATTTCTAATTGGGTGTAAACAGCGATGGGATTCAAAATTCAACGTCTAAAAAACAAGAACGGGTTCGTGAGAATACATGCGTACCCCCTGAATCCCGCTTTCGGGTATAATATATATATTTGTGCGTCATTGGCTGTATATGTATGTATATTAGTTGGATATAGATTCAAATTCGATTGGTTTTATATGCATATTCCGTTTGTATGTGCATGTCACGTTACCAACCCAACACGATGGCTATACATACATATTCATTTGAATTGAGTGTATATTCATGTTATCGTATGTATATTCAAATCAGTTGGCTGTATATGTAGTCAGTAATAAGTAGTTTATTTTCTCACCATACTAAAAGCACACTTGATGTACAAATTGCAGTAAATAAGTAAAAAGCATTTCAGGTTGAGGGGAGCTGCGAGTTATCGAGCACCGGCAACCATAAGCAAGTCTAACAAGAAAATGATAACAAAAAGTCGAACTGTAAATATACAGTAACATATATATATATATACGTTACTTTGGAAAAACAATAAATATGTCAAGGCATGCCAACCTCGTACGCCCAGTAATCTCGCGTTTCAACAACAACAAAAAGGACTACGTGAATTGGTTGTATATGTATATTTTGGCTGCATGTGCATGTTACATTACCACCGCAGCTCTATATTCGGAATTACCTCAATGTGTATGTATCCATCTCGTCCAACCTGACAATGCCCTTTATGTATCGGGTATTCTCCTTCGGCGACCAATTTGCAACACGATTCCGGATATTTCTCGTCGTTATCCGCATAAAATGTTGACTCCTCCCAATCCCAATATTTCAGAAGGCCACAACATTCGCCCTGAGAAAATGGAAAAAAATCCTCATCGACTTGAAATGTTTACCATCGTACGCCCGCGGGCCAATTACAGACTGCGTAACGACTTGATGGCTTGAAATTAAGTGAAATTGTTCAACGCTTTATGTTTTTGCCTTTTTGCGTTCTAGATATTGCCATTTATTATATCATTGTCACAGTTTAGACTTGTGTATATTCGGAACAATTCAATCGTTCCATTTATACATTTTAACTAATATATATCGAAATCTGGATTAAAATATTTTTATTTTACCACCCCCTACGTATACAAATAAGAAAAAGCTAACATATACATGACAATAAGTTATCATTGTTAAATTCAATAATTTACATCTAGAATTAGCGCATTTTAATTAAAGAGGCACATTGCACACGCATAACTTGCAGTGATCTGTGGTCTGATCATTTCCCAAGTCCAGCGCTTTTTCCAACAGGCCACCCTGTGATGTTTTTCACACGACGAAAATGAATTTATGATTTCAAATTAAGGTTTTTATGAACCGCGATCTGACAAACAAATCCCAGAATTATACATTTTGTTTTTTAATCACCATTAAATAATAAAACCGCGATCTGACACCAAAGTTTTATTTTATAAAATGTTGGTATTTTATGATAATGTCGTATTTATTTTGTACTATATATATACTGAGAAGACCTATTATCCCAAGAAATTGCCCGTTCAACGAGAAAAAATATAAAATTCCATGCATCGTTCAAAGTGAATAAAAATAATGTTAAATTTTGTACCTTGCTCTGAATCTCGTCCCAGATGTCCGTGACCTCGTTTTTGACCCCATATTCTTCCTTGTATGAGTCGACTAACGACCAATGAGCGGTCACGAAATAGTCAAAAATAATGATGCAAGCCACAACCTTCAGGAATATTGCTATGAGAGCAATAATGCAGTACTGTAAAAGACACGTGGAACTGATAAGACTAAAGACCATGTGCACGGGACGCGTTTGACTGACGAGCTATTCGTATACTCTGCCTGGACATGCGATCGGACTCGAGGTCGTGGTTCATCATCTAATCCACATCTATAATTCAGAATTACTAATTTGATCATTTCGCGATAATTGTCATTATATCCGTTCATTTTCTGGAGCCATTTTAATAGAATTTGCTGAAATCGAAATCATGCCCACTCACTCAGAAGTAAATGAGATTCATCTCTGAGCAAAGTTACGGGCACTCACTCAGAAGTAAAGGAGACTCATCTATGAGGAAAGTTTCGACTGAAATGCTAATTATAAAAGAATTATGGCGACGCTTTGTCATGAAGTAATCGCCAAATATTATATTCTAAAACAAGATTAGGCTACTTACGATCACAACCATGGGTTTGCTTTTTTTCCAAATCGCTACAAAAGCCAAAATCGTTGTCAAAATGATCACCGCGCCGGCAACAATGAGAACGTACATTCCAGCGAACATAACTTTGTCGATCAGCTTCGTCAGGCTGTCATCGTGGATAGCCCAGATGCCAAGGCCGAGTACAACAGCACCGGCGATCTGTAAAAAAAAGTAATTTTCAACAGCAATTTTACTCAAAGCGAGGTCACTTGAAAAAAAGGAGACTCGTCTCTAAGCAAAGTTACGGGCGCTCTCAATCAAAAGTAAACGAGGCTCATCTCTCAGAAAAGTTATGAGTACTCACTCAGAAGCGAACGAGACCCGAAACTTTGCTCGAGGACAAATCTTCTTTATTTCTGAATGAGTGAACGTGACGTCAGTAACACTCAGCACTTTAGCAGTCGCTCGTAACATTTCTCAGAGTTGGATTTCTTTTACTCCTGTGTGCGTTTGCGTGATCATGCTTTGAGCAAATTTTTTAAAAAAATTTTACCATAGTGAGATTTAAATCACAACTAAAAGCGGGATAAAAAAATACTGGCACGCTGAAACCAATATATAAAATTTTTCTCGCGAATTGGATATCAATAGACATTGGCTATCACAAGACTTAAACGATTCAAGTCATTTGATTATTAAAAAGGGGTGTAAAAATAAGCGATAAACCGAGGGTGTTAGGTTTGCAATTTCCTTTACTTACAGCTGGTTTGTATGATCATTCTTCTGATTTTTCCTTCCTGTGCGATATAAATCCTATTCCAATTTGGTGAATTAAAAATAAAAAAAACTCACAAAGCCTACTGTACCTTTCCCGAGGGTATTATTGTAATTTACTTGGTATTTGCTAATGTTATATCAATTCGATTATAGTATGGTGTTATTTTAGTGTCAGATACACGAGTTAAAAATTGCGCAATGGTTCCGCTATTTACATTATAAAAACAATACTCTTTTTCAGTAATTCTAGAACGGACTGCGAGAATCGGCTAATATTTTTAAAGACATGCGAAAACGAAAAATGTCAAAAACTACTAAACAGATCGTGGTTTTCATTTCTTACAGTCGATTGGTTGTTATTATAGTCTATCAGGATTACCGTTTCTTTGTAACACAAACCCTTTTCATATTCATAAACCTTAAATGCAACTCGTTCAATTTAGATCAGTAGTTTTCATGGGTTCCGCGGCAACCAAGGATTCCGACAATGCTGTCTATGTGATTTCGCGGGTTTCCGTTCAAACACTAAGAGTCTAATTAATATATATATGCAGTGGTGGAATTCAGCCGGTTCGCACCGGTTCTATAGAACCGTCTTGCGGAATTTTATGAGATCAGCGAACCGGTTAGCATTACTGGTTACTGTCAATGTTCTGTTTGTAACAGAACCGGCTGAAAAATATGCCTTTTGTGAAGAAACCGGCTGACAAAAAATTTGAACCCCGCCACTGTATATATGTATTTCGTTCAAATACTTATTGGGTTTGCCGCTGTTAATAAACTTACTGAACCTAAAACATCATTTCGTTTTATTTTATTGCATTTGCTATTATACATAATTTCTACAATTCAGACAATGAAGACAAGTAAACAATGACACAGGGGGGTACTCGAGCCGCTATAATGTTTCATTGGGATTCTGTTCCACCAAAAAAGTTTGAAAACAAATGTAAAAAATTAATAAATCTAAGCAAAACATAAACTTACAAAGCATATAATCTGCAATACTATGCATGTCGTCTTCAAACATTTTTCTTTCGCTTGCATTTCTGCCGATCCCGCGCCAAGGCGGTTCCAAAAACTAAGATAGAAACTGAAAAATATTCAACGTATTAAAATTAATTATATTTATATATAGATAATTATTAATTAGAGATTTGTTTTAGTCCAGGTCATCGACAAATGTTGAGATGAGATTGACTGATTATTTTTCAAATTGAAGACATAGTAGCCTGCTATCTACTGATTTGGAATATCGAAGGGAAACGTTTCCGGGGGTGAAAAAACAGAAACTCGGATGAAGAGACACTCTTGCATGAAGAGATATAGGTAAGCAAATTAGCTTAGCAATTAAGTTAGGTTCAACTTCATCGACTTTATATTTCTCTACGATTCTAGTTTTTACTTATCTACGAGACACAAAATTTAATGTTAATTCTTTGCTCAGTCGTCATTCTTTAATTGAACCCCCTATCGCCAAAAAATTCCATCAGACCTCGCACAGCATCATTTTTTTTCAGCAAGAAATATATCACATTCACTTATGTATCCTGAAAAGCAAAAATAATTGCGATATTGTGTCAAAACAGCTGCTAAACAAAGAACACATATTACGCCACACTGCAAAAGTGTTGATTACCGATGGTTGATCGTGTTGCGCAATCTGTGACGTCAGTCCCGTTTCTTTTTAGCCATACCTCGTATATGCACGATAATAATGCATCTGGAAGGAATATCTGGTCAACTATTCCGATATTCCATCTAGAATGGCATTTAAACCAGAGTCCGTGGTTCTTCGAATAATCAAGAATTAATATATATATAGTCCGCGTGGTTTCTCCCCATGGAATAAGTGAAATAAATCCTCTCCTAAACTTTGGTGTCACTTCCATACGATAGTCTTTTTTTGGTGACCGTACATTTGAACCCACGTATATTTGAACCCACGTACATTTGAACCATGTGTATATCCGCGGGTTCAATCTATATGCGGGTGCTAAAACCCATGGGTTAGGGTTAGTATGGGTTCAAATATCCGTAAAACAAATTTTTTTCCATAGGTGCAATAGTATGCATGTGCAATTGTCGTGGGTTCAGATGTACGTGGGTTCAAATGTAATGGAACCTTTTTTTCGCATCTCCTTCACCTTGAAATGCCATTTTCACGTTTAGTATAATATAGATAGATACAAGCGCAATACTGCACAAATTCAAATGATAGTTATAATTGCCAACGGGCCCACATAATTAGCTACGGGTCCATTGAATATTGAATAAATAAAGTAGCCGTTGAAGGTTGTGGACCACTAGCATAGGGAAATAGTTAATCCAGGCCTTGGATTTCCACTGCACGCGTTGCTCAATAAAACCAACAAAACCAGTAGTTCTCAAACGTCAGGGCGCGACCGACAAGGGAGACGTAGACGTTTTTGTAGAGGGCGTGAAGCTAAACACTAGGGCTGGGCATTTTCGAATACCTGATGAATTCAGAATCGAATCAAATAATTTTTTCGAATCGAATCGAATCTCGAATACTTGGAAGGTATGAAATTGTATGTAACTTTCCTATCATTTTATGTCCTCCAGACATATAAATTACTGAAAACATAGAATACATCACTGACAATAAAAAAAAAACGTTTTCATCAATACCTCAATACAGAAAAGAGTCATATGTCAGAATTGTGTTGAAAAAATATGGCTTCAATGAAAAAAAAATTGAGAAATTTACCTCGACCATTGGCGAAAAGAGTAAACAAGATGGCGGCGATTCGAAAATTTGCTCTTAACCGATTCGAATAATTTACTATTCGATTCGAATATTTGATTCGAAATGCCCAGCCCTACTAAACACTTGTTAGATTTAATCTTGCTCCCCTTAATTTGGATATTTACATTTTCTTTATTGTTCAGAGATTGCGATTTCATCCACGCAACCTGTTTTTAAATAAAACATATTTTCGACTCACTATCTGTTATTTGTAGTTTATTGTTAGCTAGTTATTTTTGAGTTCGGGTGCGCGACTTGAAAAATTCTAAAAAGGGGGCACGAGAATAACTGAACCACTGAACGTTCGCACTAAGCTAAGTGTTTTCGAAAAACTAACGCCGCGCCCTAAGATCGGTTTACAAACACTAAAATAATTTCCGATTATCATATACGTTGCTATTACTGGTTATATCGCCCCAGGGCTGGAATAACGTTGAGAAGTAAGTCTGACTGATACTATTTGGAAGAATGGTAAAGTTGACTTGCATTGTGAAGCAATTGAAACATAAAGGTTATGTTATAGGGTTTTACGTATTTACGTAAAGACGGCTTGATGATATGGCGAACCACGGCTGCCAGTCCATGTCAATGTCAGTTATGAGATTAGTTAGCCAGTTTTTTGTTTCGGATGCATGGACTTTTCGATGGAAGAAGCCGTAACCGACCAGCGATTACGTGAACCACCATACGGCAGCGCAAGTCCAGAAATCCTGTTGCACATGATTATCCTCCACGGGAATCGAACCTGCGAACCCGCGCAGAGAAATGATGCGCGACCACCGAGCATTTCTCATATTTCAAGCAGACGAGGGGAAAACCAGTAAGACGCTCATCAATATAGTTAGTAAAACACGGTCAGAAATGGGTACTCCTGAAGTATGCGCACCAAGATGTCGCACAACCTGAACCCTAACCTGGTACACAACCTCAGTTCAGGTTGTGTGCCATCTTGGTGCGCATACTTCAGGAGGTCCCATAAATGGGTTTATTCACGCCAGTATTTATAGTAATAGCGATACTGCCTCCAGAATTTATATATTATATAAACCTATATTATATATGGCGGAAATTGGCCTATGAACAATAACGATTTATCTGAGTAACGACATACGTCTATTGACGCAGGTTACGCTGGGCGTACGATATCCGTATGTAATTTAAACATTGTAAAGGATCGAGAGCTATTTGTGACAGTATCCGTGAACTCTTTGCCCAGGGTGGGTTTGGTAACGTAGGGCAGGGCTACTCAACTATTTTTACCGAAGATTCGCATACCGAACTTCAAAATTATTTGGGTCCGGTCTTTCCAGAATTTATATTTAGGCATCTTTAAACGCACACTTCCTCGACCGGCTAACGATTATTAGCTAATCAAAATTGCTTATTATGGTGTTATAGTTCTTTTCATATATATTCAAAACTATAAAAGTCATTTTATAAAAGGAAACTTCAAAAGTGGGGCTAATGATCTAAAATAAAGAATTAGGTGCGGTCCGAATCAAATACTCGAACGGTCCGGATTCGTAACTCGGTCCGCCGGTTGAGTAGCCCTGACCTAGTGGTAATGAAAGGGAATGATTGAACGCTATATAAATTTTTTTTTAAATATTATGTCTGAAGAGCCGATTTTAAATAGTAAGTAAATGAGTTTGAATTTTGAAGTTGACCCCATATATGTAGGGAAATCACTGGCCCCGTGCCCCGTGTGTACAGTGCCCAATTGTACAGTGCCTTGTTTCAGGCTATGATATTGCAGGATATTTTACAACTGACCCCGCATTTATTGATGCGAAGCTAGCAAATAAGAACCCGCCATTGTGGTTTGTACTATAATAACGTACATTACGCCTACGCGGAACTGCTTAAGATTAAAATTTGGCCCTTACTTGGTTGAAGATGCCTATTCAAACACGAGGAAGCGATTTTCTGCATGCCAGATTTTGAAGTCCTCGATTGAAAAAAACAAAGAAACAAACTACACGAACAAAATATTACGCTGTTTTGCATAGTATTTTTAAAAATTAATATATTTAATAGCATAATAAAAAATAAAACACTAATTTCAATTTAACATCAAACTGATAATAGTCGATCAAAAACGATTTCGAAAAAAACTTGAGTACAGCACAGCCGTTTTTTTTTTGGTATTATGCACAGAGATATCTGGCAACTGTATACTCGGGTAGCTCGATGCTTTTCAAATGGGAAGATGGCAAGCCCGGCGACCGCGGTCTCCCTTGGATCTGTAAATGAACGCCGTTTGAGACCCGTTTACGGTAAGAAGTTACGGTTTTGAAACTTTATCCATATACTATATATAGGGCATAATTTCAAGTATCACTGATTTATAGAACTTACAAGGTAAGTGTCTTTACTACTTAGGACAGTGCCCCAGCTTTTCGTTTTAGGGTAGGGGGGGGGGGGGGGGGTGATTTCAAAAGAGGGACTGAGGGAGATGTTATGCTTGATTATATATCACATTATTAGTGATAAATATATTTGTAATTATAAAATATGTTATGTATTTGACTAACTATCTGCACCTGTATAAGCTACCTTATTTTCTGAATATTCAAATACAATAATATTTTAGTTAGGAAATAAAGTACGGTACAGAATTACGGAAGGAATTGTTAATTCATCAACTAACTGTGGACTGGTAACTGGACAACCATGGTTTGGGCACATGATGAGCCGCTAATCACCTTTCCTCTTCCATGGGATAAAATGTGGCGGGGAATTTTATTTAATTTTTATTTGTTTGTATATTTTTCTTTTTACTGAGTAGTAGAATTTATGTCTCGTTTTTTTCTCTTCTGATCTTATTATGTCTTTGTGATTGTGTGTCTGCGTGCTTTAATTAGTTTTAATACTTTTGGGCGAGCGAACACATACTTCTTCCTTCATCAATACATTTTCATCTAAAATCTGTACGTTTCAAACCTTACTTGAGGTTTCGTTTGCTCTCCCGATTCTATAATCAGTTTTATTTATTTGTTTTTAGCAATTGTTTTATCGTCTATTATGCTGATTATGAAGTTGAAATAAACTTATACCTAAATATGACACTCTATTCTAAGTGCAGAGATAACAGTCTCAAGTTCTGAAGTTGTGCATCAATGACTTTAATTAATAAGTATAAGCATAGGTTTATTTTGACTCCATAATCAACATAACTGGCAATAAAATAATTGATAAAAACAAATAAATCAAAACTGATTATGAAATCAGGGGAGCAAACAAAACCTTAGATAAGGTTTGAAACGTGAAAAAACGTAGAAAAAGCAAACTATTAGAGAACCATACTGACCAATGTTAATCTTACTTAGACATAGATTTCCTCTACCTACAGATCCAGTAATTCTATTTTATTTGTGACTTTATCACCATATTTCCAGAACATCTTGACATTGGAAACAACAAATCAGCTCTTCATGAAGCAGAAAAAGTTTTAAAGAAACAGAAAGATTTATCAGCAGCCAAGGTTAGCTTTTATATCTTGTGTTTCATCCAACTCTCTCATGATTTGTCCTCCGTCTTTATTCTTGTCAAACCGTCCTCGACAGACAAACCAGTACATCTTGACATCTCCTTTGCTGGGTGGAACAGATTCTTTATAAAGAAAAAATATAGATGGTTGGATTGAGCGGCGTTGTACTCCCATAGTATGTGTACCAGGTTAGGGTTACGCCATAATTTAATTCCGGTTTTTCTTATTTTAGTTCTCTTATGAGTTAGGGGACTGTCTGTGTTAGCCAAGTGAATATAACCCCTGCCCATAGGTTTCTGTTCCTTTACACAACTTTTGATGTAAAGTTGGAGTAGCTGTTTGACGTTGTTTATTGAATCTATATTGTTTGCCTTTTTTTTAATGTGCATATACTTCTTTGCTAAGTGACACAATCTCCCCCATTTTTACTGATTCATTTTATTTCTTCAGGTATTGAAAGTCATTGCGCTGAATCGTCTTGGACGCAGAGATGAGGCTTTTGCATTATCACAAGAAGTTGCAGCTCTGGGTCCGACAGATGAAAACAGTTTGCAAGGACTGAGCCTGTATTATAGAGAGACACACAGACGTGAGTATTATTTTTATATTTTGGTGTGGGGGTGTTATGTCATTGGATGACTTCGATGGATATGTGGAATATCGCATGGCGACCACCAATACTGTTATATACTTATTTGCCACAGAATTCAAACCTTGAATATATCATTGATCGATTAGGGATTAACTTTGCATGTTGGAGCAAATGTTGCGATCTCAAACTCTTATTCAGAGAAACAGCTGTACTCTGCCTAATAGATAAAATGTTGCTCCAATGTTGATAGTGGAATATAATAGTAGAAAACGAAATTAGCTTAAAAATACAACTGTAGAATAACGATATATATCCACACTCTATATGGCTTTTTATCTAAAAGATGTTTAGTTTGGAGTTATTCATACTGGGATTCTAAATCATGTAATATGTGAATTGTGCACCAAAATTAGTACTCCCGTGAATCAAGATGGCGGACACCGGAACGTAGTATGTGTACTAGGTTACGGTTAGGCCATAATTTTATTCCAATTTTTCTTACTTTGGATCTATTACGAGTTCAGGGACTAGCCAAGTGACTCCTGTAGTATTTGTACCGGAAAAACCCTAACCTGGTACATAAACAACGGTTCGGTGTCCGCCATCTTGGTTCGCATTCTTTGAGAGTACCCCAAAAGCTGATATAAATATCGTAAATTCTTCTTCTTTTACAGATGACTTAATTCCTCCCATTTATGAGTCTGCAGTTTCAAAATGTGTCGGGAACGAAGAATATCTCACACATTTATTCATGTCCTATGTGAGAACAGAGAAACCAAAGGATATGCAAAGGGTGAGTGAGGGATGACGTCATATCAAACAAATCTCACAGAGCTAACAGAAATATTTGAAATAAATAAAAGTGATAGCCTTCTGGAGTAAAATTCTATCTTCAACTTCAATGTATTTAGTTTTTATTTAAAACTATCTTTTATATATTGTTCAGGTTGCCATTTTACTTTACAAACATCATCCGAAGAATCCTTATTTATTCTGGGGCATCATGGCGATAGTAATGCAGGCCCTCAATGATGAAAAACTTGGGAAGATGATGTTCTTGCCCCTTGCAGAAAGAATGATTGAAAAACATATTGAGAAAGGAAAAATAGAGGCCGAAGCGGGTATGTTCATTTTGTTTGTTTGTTGTAGGGGTGTCTAAATAATCTGTTCAGACGGGGTTTTTTAAAATGTGCCTCTGTGGGGGCCACAAAGCGGTTTTCTCAAGGCCATAAGAAAGACCATCACTTCACCATTCGCGATTAGTGAAGTAAATTGAATTTGATTTGTTTAATTGTTTTGTCATAGAACAGGGGTGTGCAAACTGCGGCCCGCAAGAAGAAGTTGTGCGGCCCGCGGAGAAATAACGATTTCTAATGGTGTACCCGCAAAACGAGTATTTATTCTTTTTCGTCGCAAAGCCCATACCAGTCATATTAGCAAAACAAGCTAGCAAAATTCTGTTACAAAATACATGATTTATATTACAAAAACATGTTTCTCACTGCATTCGTTTGAAGTCGGTGTGACAAAAAAATTTAAATAGCGGTTTCTTCAGAAGTTTATGCGTTTTAAATCTACTATTCCTGCAAGAACCCCTAATAATGCCGTAAGATCAATAGCAAATATAGGCAATTTTTGTGCTTGCAACTACCAGAAAGCCTAAATTAAATAAAGGTGCGGCCCGCGGCTCCACCCAGTTACTTGTATTTGGCCCGCCAATAAAAAAGGTTGCACACCCTTGTCATAGAGCATTTACTCCTTTGCTTTCGCTTGTTGGCTTTACCTCGTAAAACAAGAGAGCTACGCCCAAATAAATATATGGACACGTCTCTTCGCAGTACAGTACGGTATACTGTACCGTCAGATCACAGTCTACAAATATATTCACACCAAGCGAAGCAGTACAGTAGGACACAAAATGGCGTCCGATGTCCGCAGAACGTTTAATGACGTCATAGCAAACAAAAACAAATCTCACAGAGCTAACAGAAATATTTAAAACGAATAAAAGTAATAGCCTTATTGGAGAAATTTTATCTTCAACCACTGAAAATTTCAAAGCAATTGGTCCAGTATTCGAAGAGAAAAGCGATTTTTTTAAAAATGATGGAGACAAATAATATTAACAATAGCAACAAAATTTTGAAACGATCGTTATGTCCACTACGTGTCCAATAACTGGTAAAAAAACATCAATTTTATTTTCTACAAATCTTGAACCATTGACTGGTGTATTTATTTGAAAAATTATGGTGTTGAAAGTGTCTGGAAATCGGCCATGAATTATGCAAATTTGAGTTCCAAATTTATACTATTGTTGAAAGAGATATTTCAATCCTCTACTGCAGGGCTTTCTCAACTGGTGGACCGCGGTCCGAATCCGGACCTTTCGAGTATTGGATTTGGACCGCACCTAATTCTTTATTTTAGATCAATAGCCCCACTTTTTGAATTTCCCATCATAAAATGACTTTCATAGTTTTGAATATATACGAAAAGAACTATAACACCATAATAAACAATTTTAATTTGCTACTAATCATTAGTCGGTCGAGGAAGTGCTCGTTTAAGGATGCCGAAATATCATTTCTGGAAAGACCGGACCCAAATAATTTTGAAGTTTTGTTTGCGGACCTTTGATAAAAATAGTTGAGTAGCCCTGCTCTACTGAACAGAATTTCAACAACTGCCCGAAAGTTTTATTTACCACAAATTTTCGGTCATGACTGGCTTATCTGAATATGTATTGAAATGTCTTTTACTGACTTCTCGCTTGTTAGAATACAAACATACTCTCCTGAAAAGCCATTAGGGAAGTTTAATAAGGGCGTATTGGTTGACGAGTAAAATAATTCGCAAAACGACTATACAAAATGAGTTCAGGGAAGCTATTGTTTAGGATTAAGAATTAGAAATATGCACAAATTTTCTGGACGATGGTGTCTGGATTTATTTTGATAAAAGAATTTTTCATATTTTTTTAGAAGTCCGACTGTATCTAATAGTCCTAGAAATGTTGGAAAAACATGAAAAGTGTTTGGAAGTTTTGGAAGGAAAGCATGCAAGTAAGTCTCGTAAAACTTTGCCATGGTTTCCAACCTCTATGGTAGAGCGTAACTACATATACAGGGTGTCCATAAAGTTCCTTTACAATTTCAATTTTGAGGGCTCCCTAAGTATGCGAACCAAGATGGCGGACATCGGAATGTAATATGTGTACTAGGTTAGGGTTAGGCCATAATTTTAGGTATAAATACTACGGGAGGCTCTTGGCTAGTCTTCGAACTGATAATAGGACTAAAATAAGGAAAATTGGAAAAAAATTATCGCCTAACCCTAACCTGTTACCCATGTTACGTTCCGATGTCCGCCATCTTGGTTCGCATACTTCGGGAGCACCCAATTTTGTTATTTATAAAGTCAGTTCTCAATATACAGGGTGTCCATGAAGTCGCTTTACAATTTCAATTTATCCCCAATGCAGTTTTTAAATATTTCAAGACTTTATGGACATTGGACACCCTATATAAGATAAAGCAAACCTAATATCAAAACGAAATGATTCTGAACTGTAGCAAGCTTAATTATAGTGGAAAATATTGTATTCTTATCTTCAGTTTCATTTTTTTCAGGATATTTCACGCTGGAAGGGGAAGAAATCAGCATCCTGAAAACTAACATTTACAAAAAATTAGGAAAATGGGAAAAAATTAATTCAAGAAATAAAGTATTATTGAAAAAAGAGTGAGTTTTAAAACAGACTTTGCAATTAAGTTAATTTTTCAGTTTCTAGACCATTCTGATATTTTGTTATGGATTTCGTTACTTTGCTTAGCATTTGACATAACGTAACAAATGTTGTTGTTGTTAACACCTTTCGTCCGTCTGTGCTTGAAGACCCAGGAACACTGCAACGTCGATCGGCTTCTCCCATTGGTCCCTTGTGGTTGAGTGTGTTGGTTTGACTGGCCAGATGAATAGATGTGGGCCGGTTTTGCATTCAGGGCAGATATCCTATATTGCTGGATCAATGCATTCCATGTAGTGATTTGTTTGGCGACTCCACCCAGTTGGAAGCTGAGAGAGCGTGCATCGTGTAATTCTGGACAGTTAACTTTTGGATTCGCTGATAACCTAGTTGTGCTAAATAAACTATCAAGTACATCTTCCGAATAACAGGCTCTGTCCTTACAGAAACAGTAGTTCATTGCACAGTTGTAAACTTTGCCTATTTTGGAACTTTACATTTTCTGTCTTACGACTCGCAAATTCAATTTCTCTGATTAGTATAAGGATTGTCAGTGCCGAAGGCATTAGTGCCTAGATTTTTTGAGTGAGTTGGCTTTTTTTAACGATCAGTTCCTAATGTTTTAGGCCTGACACTTGGAATCACGTTATCGGTTATCTCGACTCTCTGGAACGTCTAGTGGACAATGAATCGAAAGAAGAAAATTCAAATGCAGATGATGCAGGAACAAGGTGGGGAGAATATCTGCTTGATACAGGATTTTTTATATTTTTACTGGGAGAGAAAACCAATAAGACATGGATCGGTATTCTAGATTAGAGCTCTAGGTCTGAGTGTCTGACATGTGTATAAATCATCTTATTGACTCCCCCGAAGGAAGTAATTTAAATTTATTTGTGAACTTTTGACATTTTTACTCTTTCTTAGTTTCCTAGGCCATGCATTTTATGCATTCACATCCACCAGTTCAAAATTATAAACTTCGGGTTGGCAACCTTTAGCATTGGAACTTGAAAGAGCAATTTGACATCATTTCTGTCAAACTCAAACCTACTCGGAGCCGCAACATCTACTCTAATGTCAGTGGCGATTAAAACTCTTGTATAACCACTTGGAATAATCTAGGTCTTACTAGAAAGAAGTTAAAAGGAAGTTGCAATAATTCAGTCTATGAGGAAATAAAAAGAACTTTTAAAATGAAAAGAAAAGTTTGTTTTGGCAGACTTGATTCGTCCTAATGCGACCCATTTTTACAGCTAGCAACTTGCACTTTGGGAACCTGCTATGATGTAGCAGGTTGCTATGATGTGGCAGTTATGTATGTGCTGCTTGCACTTTGGGAACCTGTGTATGATAATTAGTGGGGAGTATCCAACATGCCTCCCCTTTCATTCAATCCCTAATCCTGCTTCTAACACTTCGATTCACAGCAGAGCCAGAGCTACGAGAACGCATGCCGCTGCAAAGTTGCAGGTTGTCGATTGCTGTCATGGACGAATTATAAGTAGTTAGTCCTGCAGAAACCCAATCAATAGCACTTAGAAAACACTGTTCTTTTTCAGTTCCGAGGATGCTGACCACAAGTGGGAGCAAGCAGTCGATTTATTCCTTCAACTCCTTGAAAGTGAGAGAAGTTCAAATGCAAAGAGAACGAGACGAGGACCTTTCTTAGCTGTGTTGGAATTGCACAAGAGATTAAAGTTGATGACTGAGAAAGGTTAGTTATTTTTACTTCTTTTTTTAAAGAATTTGCTCAAATCAAAGACAAGAGCAATCACTCACAAGAAAACGAGACTCATCTCTGAGGGTCTAAAAAGCGCTCCGAGCAAAGAAAAATTGTTTTTGCCATTCAGCATGCTATGCCCCTGATTAGTTACCATTAGGGATGGGCAATTCAGAAAATAAAAACCAGAAGGTTTGATTACCAAAGCAATTGAATCGAAATAGATTCGATAACACGGGATTCGGTTTCAGCCATTGAACAATATCTTTGATATTTCGAGTTCACGATTAATTGATTAGTGGCCGATGTTAGCTCTTGTAGGCACATGCGTAAAAAGAAAATAGTATAATCTTATAAATTCGTATCTATAAATTCTCAGATGAATCCATTTCAACATTACTTGAAAGAACTGGCAATCCTGTTGAACTGATTATAGAATTTGTTGAATTATTTTCATCAAAGCCTTGTTGTTTCGGGGATTTGGAGCCGTATGTCGTATCTTTGGAATCTGAAGGGAAAAATGAGGTATTTTTGTTATTACTTATCGATCTTGATTGGTAAGTATGATGATAGATATTTGTCTGTTTGTTTGTCTGTTAGACACTTTCGTATGTTGCGCGATATCTCACGAAAGCGAGGTTGAATCACATATGCTCTAAATTTTGCATGTGCATTCGTCATATTCGCCAGAAGCCCATTGAGTTTGGATGAATTATATCGTATAATTAGCGAGTTATTAATTAATTAGTGATGGGACACGTGGTGTCGCCATTGCGTCAGAGCGAAGGATACATGCCACTAGATCGATCGAAATTGGCGATCTCTGATCGCTAGCTCGCTCATTTATTACTTATTCACTTCGTTTTCTTTTTTTATTATGAAACATGGCTCAAAAAAGGTATTTAAGAAGAGCGCGCCTGAAGTGTTAGAGCTGAAAGTTTGACCACTGTTCTAAATTATTCTTGAAACAGCGAATTTATAATATTGATTAAACAATGATACCTCGGTGGTCGAACGCCTCGATTAAAATGCTGCAGTACTCGAAACGGAAGATCGGTGCTTCAACACCTGAGCGTGCCGCCAAGTGAGATGCATGAATCCACGAAAACTTCCTAAAATGAACTAAAACATGCAAAAAAAACGTCAAAACTACCTAAAAACACGCTTAAAAATTGAAGTCAAAAATGCTGCCTCACTCGATCGGGGATTTTGTGGTCAAACGACCACGTCGCTGAGTGAGATGACGTCACCTGGCATTCCTGTGCTGGGCATCAACGATTTATGTTCATGAAAATATCTGCCCGGGTCCAAAATTAGAATCAGATGGATATTCAGAGGCCAGGAGAGAGGAGACCCGCAAGTGGTTGGCACCAGCACCTGTACATATAACTAAGATACTGGTATAATTGAATTGCTACAAATATACATGCTTAAACAGTGATAATGGGATAATGGTGTAACAATTGGCAGTATCTAAATCGCAAAAAAAGGTAAAAACCTTAAGTGGTAAACTATTTCACTTGAATTCAGCGGGCCACATTAAATGGCCCATGGGCCACAGTTTGGGAACCACTTCCCTGAATTTAAGCCAGCTACTTTTTATTTTTTAGCTCCTGTTAAAAATAAATGAAAAAGTTCTTTCATTCATCCTGAATGAGAATGAAACGGATGAAACTGAAAACGATGATAAACTGAAAGAAAAGAAAATACAGGAACATTTATTTTATCTGGAAATGCAAAGGTAAAAATTTTTTAAAAAGAATTTTTTTGAATCTAAGTCTCACGCACCCATTCAGGAGTAGAAAGACTTGGCTCTGCGGTGTTGCGCATCATGTTAACCTAGGAATAGTTCGCACCTCTGTTTACCATGCATGTGTTCAAATCTCATGTGGGGTTAACAAAAGTGCGACAGGACCGCTCGACTCCTCGCTGTCGTAGTGTTGTTTACTTAACCACTGGACGGTTCAGCTTCCTCCACCAGTTAGCTAGTCCATGCATCTGAAACAAATAACTAGCTAAGTGATGCCATACCCAGAATGAATTGGAAGCTGAAGGAGGCCAAATGATTAAGCCGTCTTATCAATTTTCCTCTCCCTCGGATCAATATGTATCCGATCCTCGTGTATGAGCAAAACTACGCAAATTCACTCAGAAGCAGAGGATACTCATCTCTGAGCGGAAATATGGACGATAACTAATTTGCTGAGAATTACTAACACGCTCTAAAATGATGACGATACATTATGCAGTGGTAAAGGAAGGAAAGGGTTCAAATTCAGTCATTGTAATCTTTCAGTTTTATACATCTATTTATTCCGAGCATTGTGAGCTAAGCTGTACCACCCCTCTTTATCCTTCCTCCCCACTTTCGAAAAAAAAATTGTGACTTCATACTTCATTAGGAACATAACGTTACAATATGCACTAGTGAATATGGATTGAGCTTAGTTGTGCAACTCCCGGGATTTCCCCCTCCCCACAAAAAATATTTTTTAAGGCTTTTTACTTCTTATTAACCCAGATTTCTTGGTCACCATGAAGCATTGAAGAAAGCAGACAAGATTGAAGTTGTTACAGATTTATTGAAGAGATATGACCAAGGGTTGAAGCATAGTAAGTAGGAGCAACAGAGTAAATTTTCTGATTACTTTGGAAATGCATATTGACCATGCAACTTATACGCTACAGCTCTCTCTAACGAAACAACTTAGAAAAATTTTGGCATGCTCTAACTTCTTAATTTTGTGTGATAATTTTAACTCCAACTTATGCTTTAAGAAGTCTGTACTCAGAAAGGCGAAACCTGTTGATGCCATATATTGTTTTGGCCCTCACAGATGTATTAAATGAAGTAAAAATACTTGAACAAATACTGAATACAAAACAACAAACTTGATTAAAATATATTGCGAACTGACTCTATAACTAAATTGAAATTGTAAAGGGACTTTATGGACACCCTTTATTTTTAAAATGTTGTCAAATGTTGCCTTTTGCTCTCTTGAAACCCTTTGACTTCATAGGAATTAACCGATATAGGAAAGGATGACTCGATCAGATGGCGAACCATGGCCTCTCGTTCGGTTACCACTCCATGGTATTTATTTAGTTCCAGAAGCATCAACTTAGTAAACTTGATGGTGGAGGAAGGCGCATCCGCCAACTTTTATGTGAACCACTCTACTGCGGCAAGGAGTTCAGCAATCCTCTCGCACTTAATTATCCCTACAGGATTTAAACCTGCGAATCCATGCAGAGTAATCAGGGGTGACGAGCGTATCAGGGGTGACGAGCGTGTTTCTAACGCCTAGCACGATCCGCCACACCCCTTGAAATACTCAAAATTTGACTCCATAGGAATCCACCCAAATCACCAATGTCTCTCTCATTCTTTGCAGGTTCTTATCGTCCAGTTACCGATGTCAGAGTAGTTGATGATTATCTACTTCTTGCAGCGAATATTATGATCGATTTGTACAAAGAAGAAGGTCAGTGTAATTTAATTTTTGGGGAGAAAAGGAGGGGGGGGGGTTGCATTAAAATCAATGTACAGCGAATGCCAATGGCGCTGAACAAAAAATTTGATCAGATGTCATAGTATGACTTATATTGGGGATTGTATTTTCAACTGCATAATTCACACAAATTTCTATTTGAATTTAGAAATTTTTGATTGGAAATACCTTAGAATCATTTTGGAATTGATTAAAAAAGACAAATCGAGAAAATAAGACCACAGACCAAAGTAACTGCACAGGCTGTTATACGGCAGTTGTATACTGCCTTTGTGATTAGTTCTAGCTGAACAGCTGTTTGGTCCAGCATCTGAAAATAATGCGTCTCGGTGTTTAAGATAAATATTTGTGTCATTTATTTGCGCCTTATTTTGGCTCTCAATTTTGTTATGAAATGGCAATCTCGGTGGGGCTCTGACAAAGAAAATATAAATGTAGAATTAGAGCATGGAAGGGGTCGAATCCTATCACCATGTGAATGCCCAGCTGAAATAAGTGCCCATGAGTGGACTAAAGACTGGATGAATATCAAAAAAAAACAGTACTCCCATAATGTGTGTGTCCCATGTTAAAATCAGGATATTATTTTATACCGATTTTCGTTCTTTTAGTTCTATTACAAGATTGGGGACTGTTTGTTAGCCAAGTGAATATACCCTCTGCCCATAGGTTTCAGTCCCTTTACACAACTTGATGTAAAGTAGGCAAACAAAATTAGTTACCTCCGTATTGGCACACACACTTCTGGAGCACCAAAAAAACAGTGGTGTTGGTTTTAGTCATCTTTGGTGTAACATAAAGAAAACTTTATTTTCAGATGATCTCGAGCATTTGTGGAAAGCGATCTATATTCTTGAGTTGGGAAAGCAACGTAGCACGATCAACTTTCGAATCAAGTTTACGCTGATTAGGCTGTATTGTGAGATCGGAATATTCATGCCTTGCGCTCAGATCTACGATTCGCTGGATATAAAGCACATGCAACAAGATACTTTAGGGTTAGTATTGATTGGCTGTATATGCATGTATTCTTCCCGTCCATGAAAGTGCATAAAGCACATGCAATAAGGTACTTTAGGGTGAGTATTGATTGGCTGTATATGCATGTATTCTTCCCGTCCATGAAAGTGCATAAAGCACATGCAACAAGATACTTTAGGGTGAGTATTGATTGGCTGTATATGCATGTGTTCCTTCCCTCCATGAAAATGCATAAAGCACATGCAACAAGATACTTTAGGGTGAGTATTGATTGGCTGTATATGCATGTGTTCCTTCCCTCCATGAAAATGCATAAAGCACATGCAATAAGGTACTTTAGGGTTAGTATTGATTGGCTGTATATGCATGTATTCTTCCCGTCCATGAAAGTGCATAAAGCACATGCAATAAGGTACTTTAGGGTTAGTATTGATTGGCTGTATATGCATGTATTCTTCCCGTCCATGAAAGTGCATAAAGACAGCAACAAGATACTTTAGGGTGAGTATTGATTGGCTGTATATGCATGTATTCTTCCCGTCCATGAAAGTGCATAAAGCACAGCAACAAGATACTTTAGGGTGAGTATTGATTGGCTGTATATGCATGTGTTCTTTCCTTCCATGAAAATGCATAAAGCACATGCAACAAGATACTTTAGGGTTAGTATTGATTGGCTGTATATGCACGTATTCGTGGCAGCCATGAAAATGCATGGATTGTTGGAAATGAAACACATGCAACAAGATACTTTAGGGTTAGTATTGACTGGCTGTATGTGCCATGAAATATACAAATACAACAAATTATAAGTAAATGGTGTTTGCACCTAATCTGGAAAGTGACATCATAAAAGAGTGGCTGTATATGTAAATAGTATGTATATTCTTAATCTGTGTAGGTTCGGCCCAATTTATTTCAAACAGCGGGCACTGTTCTGAAAAGGGGGCTATCAGATTCATGCTTCTGAACACAAATATCTGGCTAACTAATCTCATACGCAACACAGCTTGTAACCGGACGAGCGGCCGTGATTCGCAATATAATTAAACATTCTCATCGCCTTTTCTCTCTGAATATGTAAATCCTATCCTAAGACACACTGATACGCACTATTTTTCAGAGCAAGGTATATACTGCAGATCGGGTTATTTTGCCCATTTTTTAGATTTTTGCATCTTCTTTCACCCTAATTGTGCCATTTATGTATTTGGTGTCTGATTTGTATTTTTTATGTGTACTGTTTTCCTTTCAGTTATATAGTTTGCCACGCAGTGTCTTCATTCGGCCACTATCAACTTGCATCTCAGGCATTCGAAGCCTCTCGTGCGTTCTTTATTTCAAACAACAAAGATTCGTTGGAACTCCTGATTGCCTGCTTTAGGAATGGGACTTTCCATAAGGTAAGCCAGAACTGTGGAATATATTTTTATAAGAAATATTTTTTTTCAGAATTTTGTTTTTTTAATGTATAAAATGCTTAGTTCTATGATTAGAGCAGGGATGGAAAAACAGTGGAAAATATTTAATTCGGGATTTAATTTTTACTGATTTAAAATAATAATAAAATTTGTGAAATGTTTTTAATCAAAACGTGAGCGGCAGAGCTAGAATGTGTGATATCTGATATTAATAAAAACATCATAAACGATATTAGAAGATAGCGCATAGCGATATTCAAATATTAAATTCAAATTGAACATTTCTGGATTCTAGAATAATTTTAGTTCACATCAAACCTTTTCGCTGCACTCATTCTGAACTATTATGATCAATATGAAATAATAATTCAAATTTCAAATCTCTTTAAATATTCCAGGTCTCAGAATTCATTTCATTCCGAAACCATGTCAAGGATTCTCTCCATTCTGCTTTAACAACAACAGAACACACTTATATGGACCTGGTCACGCAGGGAGATCTGTGAGTATTGACTCACAGTTAATAGGATTTACTTATTTATCCCGGGGGAGAGAAAAGCCGCTAAAATGGCTTTATCATTTTGCGAACCACGGTCTCTCGTCCGGTTACCAGTCCAGGTCGGGTATGGGATTAGTTAGCCAGGTATTTATTTTTGTGAACATGGACTTGATGGTGGCGGAAGCCATACCGGCCAGCAGTTACGTGAACCTTTCTATGTCGTCTATGGCCAGCAATCCCCTCTGCGCATAATTATACCACACTTGATATGAAGTTGTGAATTCACACAGGATCATAATCATAAGTGCGATGGCAATCATTTTTCATAATGCTCGGCACGATGCGCCACATCGCCGGGCCAAAATATAAAATAAGTGATGGGAGTTATGCCTGTGATATGTGCCGCGCCACACTGGAAAGTTGGGCTTATTTCAAGCTTTGTCTTGCAATTTATTTTGATTTTTAATGACCTAAATCCGGGATGTGCAACAAGCCTATGGGCCACAAATTGCCTTCCAAGCCATTCAAGGCGGCTCTCATTAACAATTAGAATTTTCCCCATCAAGCATAAAATTATAATTCAAAATTCTGGTGACAAATGAGGTTTCTGCATTAGAATTTATGATTTTTGCCCCAAACCTTGACAGATGGATATATTTTTCTTGTACTATGATAAAGTAAGATTACTCAAACCTCATTTAACGTTTTGGCAATTTCCTTATTTATTTTGTACCATGCCAGAGTGTAAAGTGAATCATCTTATCTTCTTATCTGTCTATCTTATCACTTTATCAGTGACATCCCATACTATGACCTGATTGAGACATGTTGTCTTCCTGATGAAAGATTCAATTTTGAGATACTCACTGATAACAGGGATTTTAGCATCAGATTTGATTGGATGCCAGAACATAAGTAAGTTTTTATTTGTGTGTTTCCATTTTCATTGTGCATATAGATGCTTTCATTTGAACGGCTCTAGGAGAATTTGCACTGCGTACTGTTAGTTGAAAGAGACGTGAACAAGCTTTTCAACGATACTTGAGTGAAGTTTCTCACACGTTCGAATAAAAAGTTATGACATTTTTAGGAGGGGTATAAAAAGTTGCTCCAGACCATAGGAGAAGAACGATTATGATTTTCCAATTTTCAAAATACTGATAATAAATGCCGAAATATTAATTCTGATATAAGTATATTCTCAAAAAATAGATTCGAGTTATATGTTGCGCTTAGAGTGCTGCCCCCAAGGTTAGCAGAAAGTTATTAAACCTTTCCCTCGAATACCGTGATATAGTTTGAAAACAAAAATTAGCGGGTTGGCCCAACTTACTTTAAAAAAAATTCAAAAAAGAAAATACCTTCATTTGGAACAAGTCTAAAAATATGACATCGTAAAAAGAATTAAAAAACCACTTGAGTAGTTCAAATTGGAATCTTGTCTGGGTGGAGTATTTCATGGAGGCCATATCTCGATTGATTAAAGATTCTTCCTGAATTCAAGTATAGCACAAATATAGTTCTGTAATGTTTCATCATAAGCATACGAGTACATCGACACAAACGATAAAAGGATTAATAGTTAGTCCTGTAGAAACCCAATGTGAAATTTTCAATGAGTTGAATTTTGTATCGATAAACATGCTCTTGTATAATTTCAGGCAGCTGAAGAAATCGCACACTGACGTGAGCTTTACTCTTGAAAAGCATTGGTTGCGATTTCGGGAACTACAAGTTCGGTCCATCCTTGAATTATTAAAACTTGCTTCACAGTCAAAGACATTAGGAGATAGTGGGCTAGGTAAGAATAATACAGGACCAGTCTTGGAGGTAAATTTCTAAAAGAACTGGAGTTAATCGTTATCTCAAACGAGTATCTAGTTACTTATTCCAATAACGCAGCGGTTCCCAAAAGGTGAACCGCGAAAATTAACGGAATTGTGTCCAACATAACTAAAATATTATTGGATATTTTTCATATTGTGCGCCACGCTATTTTTTTCTAATAATTTGGCGCCACACAGACAAAAAGTTTGGGAACTATAAAATTTTTATAGTCACATGAAAACTTTATATATTTTTATTGTCTGATTTTCCTGTCTTTTTTCTCAAGAAACAATGAATTCATTTCTGAAAGAACTGGAAGAAATTGTTGAAAACACAAAGAACGATCCTGGGATATCTGTGGAGGTGATGAAATTGAAAGTTGATTGTATGAATTTTTACATGACATTCACTCCAAACAAGTCTATTAATCAGGGGGGGCCCAAGAATTTTGCTCACTTATACTAGCGGACATGCAGTGGTGTAGCAAGACCCTCATGGGCTCCCCCGCAAAAATATTTCGTGGAAATGACCCTAAAAACTCTCGGACATAAGCTAAAACAACGCTTTTTTATTTCGACAAAACGCATAACATGTCGCTATAAAAAGCAATGGCAACCTAAAATTTGCCGTTTATTTTGGTTACTTTAATTTTTTTCACACGTGCTTCCTCTTCTGCCCTTTTTTTTGCGTTTCTGTATGCCACTGAGAGGTTTTGCTTTCAAAATCATTCTGACAGCCTTCGTAATTTTACCAGTGCGATCAAATCCCAATACGCCGAAAATCGACGACTTCCTGGCATTGTTACGTAACAAAACGATTTGAGCAGAACTAACATCAACGTTATAAGATGTGCTTTACTTGTTTTGCACTTCAGCTTTTGGTTTGCGGCTTAAATTTCTAAATCCTAACCGTTTGGGCCCCTTTGCGTTGTGGGCCCTCTCGCGACCGCGGAGGTGGATGCTACGCCACTGCGGATATGTAAGTATGACGTAAAAAGTTACATTTATGAACAGAATGGCAAGAATGCGTAAATTATGAACAAAAAAGAATAATTCCCATAACAGCTATGAAGTGCATGTGGAATTGGTTAAAATCAGAAATTTATGGCAGCATCTGGCGGGCCGGGTTGAATCACCCAATGGGCCGGATTTGCCCCGTGATTTGCCCATTGTCAGTCGTGATGCATTTTGCTCTTATTTGAGCTTATTAAATAGAGTATTGTTCTATCCATTGGAGTATTTGGTTGTATTAAGATGCGTTTTTCTATATCAAATGTGGTGCTCCTCAAGTATGTGCACCAAGATGTCACATAACCTGAACCCTAACCTGGTACACAACCAGAGTTCAGGTTGTGTGCCATCTTGGTGCACATACTTCAGGAGGTCCCTATAAGTGGCTGAGCTTCATTTACCATACTTTTTTACAGTTTCCATTCCACGGGCCTCCTCGGTCAAGAATTCAATTGTTATTGGAAGTCAAATATCAAGACACGACTGTGACATTGCTTAGGTAAGTGGAGTTAGTCTAGGGCTGTGGATCCGAACCATTTGTGGCTCGTGGCTGCTTTCCGGAGACACTCATGGCTCCCCTGTTTTTCATTCCAGTGGTATTTATAGTGTTATCATGATTGGTAGATTCAGTGAAAACTCTTTTTTTTTTTCAGGTTGTTTCATAAACTTCTTGCCGAAATAATAAATCCGGAATCAGAAAAAGATTTAAAAAAAGTTTCAGAATCTCTGATTTCAGGAATTGAAGGTGCAAAGCTTCATTGTGTTCATTTTTATATTGTCTAGTTAAGCATCTGGGCAAGAATGAATAAACTTCTATCTATCTATCTATCTTGGCTGTAACAAAAATTGCATAGGCCAGAGTGATGATGACATTGTGAATGTCAGTAGCTGCTTTTCTAGAGCAGCCTTCAAATAATGATGTTAAGTGCCTCTTAGTCTTGGTTTATAATCCTCTATAATTTTTTATCTAGATGCTCTATCATTAACTGGTCTAACAGCCATGGGTGACACTCTACCAAATGCAACAAAGAAAAGCAATAAGAAAAAAACAGTGAAGCATGACCATTGTCATGGTGACTGTGACCATGATGACAATGATTCAGTATGTGTGACATCGTCTCCAGAAAAAACTGTCGAGTCAGCTGTAAATTTAATTGTTCCGAATTCTTTGAAAGATGTAAAAAGATATAAATTAGAAAGGTTAGTTAAATGGATTGGTTGTTTGTTTTACTTCAGTTCTGCAGAATGGGTATCTGATAAATATAATTTATTTCCAGACTTGTCGCAACTTGTGAATTGTTCAGTCTATCCGTTCTCCTGACGAATAATTTTTCATCGCTAATCACGGAAGTTCGTTCAGAAGCAATTAAAAAACGTCGAAGGAAAAAAGGCAAACAGGCACCCATGGTGAGAGAAATTTCATGCTATTGTTACTTATCGATCTCGACCGGTAAGTATGTTCATAGGTATTTGTCTGTTAGACACTTTTGTATGTAACGCGATATCTCACGAAAGCGAGGTTGAAAGCAAATTTTGCATGTAAATTCATCATATCTCGGACCAGAAGTCTATTGATTTTGGATGAATTATGTCGTATAATTAGCGATTTATTGATTAATTTATAATGGGACATGCGGTGTCGCTATTGAGTCAGAGCAAAGGGAACCGAATGGATAAGTCGGCGGTCTCCAATCGCTATCTAGTTTTTTTAGTGGTTCATTCTTGCTAGAGCAGTCCTTGCAGTTGATCTGTTTTGGATCATCAAATGCAGGGTTTACCAAACTTTTCGGGGCTGCAGACCCCTATTTGCGAATCTCAGTTTTAAAAGGCCCCATCCTATGCCGTATTAATTTTTGTGCTTTACTAACGAGGAAGGCCGCAAGCCCCCAACCGTGCGTACACCCCTTTACCCACAATCCCGGACGATGCTCAAAAATCCTTATCGGTTCAGCACAATGGTGTTATAATAATGTTTAACATGTAACACATAATTCGGTCCTCCTGAAGTATGCGCACCAAGATGGCGCACAACCTGAACTCAGGTTGTGTACCAGGTTAAGGTTCAGGTACACATACTTCAGGAGTACCCATTATTCTTTATATGAATCAGTGGTTCCCAAACCGCGGCCCGCGGGCCAATTACGACTCTCGTAACAATTTAATATGGCCCGCCGAATATGAGTGAAATAGTTCAACTCTTTATGTTTTACCATATTGCGTTCTGGATACTGCAAATTGTTAAAGTCACTATCACAGTTTAAATTCAATTAAACCTGTAGCCTAGTTATACGGACAGGTATCAACCCTTCTAGAGGTTTACTGCTCTCAGCCTGCGAATATTCTTCCGCTTCTAATTTTGGCCTCCAGTAGATCAACTTTGAGAACTACTGCATTATAATATGAAGACAGATTTTTAAAATATTTTTAACAAAATATTTTTATTCTCAAACAGCCCTCAATCATCAATTTCTATCAAGAATTTGTATCCAAACTCAAGAAGCTGGGACAAAAACTATTGTCTGCAATTGAACAGATGTCCGCTGATGCAGAAACTATGATCCTTGACCTTTCCAAGATGGATGGGGTCGAAGGTGAAACAGAGAAATTAGCAAATGGAGTAAGTTTATTACATTCTGATTTCAATGCATGGATATTCAGATTTTTATATGAGTTACTGTTTGATCACCTAACATAATGTTTCTCAAACGTTTGTTTTGGAGTCGCATCGCTTTTTATCTCACTTTGTGGAACGCCAAGAAATCAGAACGTAAAATATGAACGAATTCGCCATGGGCACCAATTTAGTCACAGTTTTGTCCTGTGGAACACTCTGAAAAGTCTCGTGTAATAGCAGTGTTCTGCAGTTTAAGAAACGCTGATCTGACAGATCGATTAAAACTGATTTAACTTGCGGATATAACTCAGACCTCTATACTTGAAGTACACTTGCTCACAACTCACAAGATAGGACGTTATTACCTCGATCAATCAAGAATACAGGGACGTCTATCTAGCTCAGGATAGGAATTTTATATTTATCAAGGCAGGCAGCTTGTCAGAAATAGAAAGACCTGGGTAATATTTTGCTAGTAATTTGAATATTTCTTATTTTTGAACTACTTATTTGTATACCTTTCCCTCTGAACAAGGCTCTTTACTAGCGGTTCCTAACCTAATCTAAAATATTTTTCAGGAAGTAAAACCTATGCAACAAAGCAATGGAGAAACAGAGAAGACGACGCCCACAACCACACCCCTTCCTGACCAACTTGTCCAATTAGCATCAGACAGTATTTTGAATTCAACCAATCAGCTTTCAGAGATTATTCAAGGTCGTCTAGGAAATTTGAAGGTCAGTTGATTGTCATTGAAGGTCAATTGAATGTCACAAATTTATAGCCAGTGTATCAAAGTTTAAAAGCTTTTTTTCTATTGTTTCTCCACACTTGAATCATTTAGGTTTTTCTAAGAAAGTCTGATTTTAGCTAGATGAAATGTCGCTGTACATTTTTTGTGAAGGTGTGATATTTAAACGCTCTAGATCAGTGCTCTTCAACAGGGGTTCCGCGGAACCCTAGGGTTCCGCAACACACGCAGTGGGGTTCCGTGAGGTTATTATAGGGTTCCTTAGGGGTTCCGCGAAAAGGAAAAATTGACTGCTGGGCCAGTAAAGTTGCAAAAAATAGTTATTCTTCTTTTCCGTTTTTGGATATATTTCTATGTGAGTACTCCGAAGTTGAGGATACAGCTGAAGAAGCATTAAAACGTCTGTGTGAATTTCCCAATACCTATTTGTGTAAATCAGCGTTTTCTGCTTCAATAACTATTAAAATCAAAAAAAGAAGTTGTATAAAAAGTGTAGACTATGAGTATGAGAATTGCATTGAGCGAGTGGAGCCACGATTCAAGAAGATTGCAAAGGAAATGCAAGAACAACCTAGTCATTGAATTTCACGCTTGTTACCTTCTTTCTGTTTCGTTGTTGAAGTAGAAATATTTGAATTACAAATATTTCGTGTTACGAGTATTTTGTGTTTTATTTTTGTTAATTGGGGCTCCATAAAAAACGAAAAATTATATCAGGGGTTCCACAATAACAAAAAGGTTGAAGAGTACTGTTATAGATAGCCCAGGGGTGTGCAAACGCTGGCCCACGGGTCTCAGCCTGGTCCGTCAAGCCATTCAGTGTGGCCCTTGACAACACCCAGAATTAGCATAAAATCCCTTGTCAATTAAAATCCCCATCCATTAGTTTGTTTAAAAAGGCGCTTACATAGGTAAAAATCTTAAATGATTTTTTTGCTCCGTTGCTGTGTTTGAATCTTTCGTCGTTCTGCCCAGTGCCTTCATTATTGTAATTTTATTTTGTTTGTTTCAGGCCATCAAAGTTTAACTTAAAATCATATCAGTGAAGATTTTCCATCCAAGAATGAAGTTCCAGCTCTTTGTATTTTCATCGTCAGACGTTCACGCTTCCTCACGGAACAAGAAAACAATATTCAAGCTTCCTAGAAGTTTCTTCTGTTCTTGTTTCCTATACTTCACCATCGCTGAATTTTTAATGCCTATTTTGAGAGTATTTTTGAAATATGGCTCAAACATATCGGTTTACATCTTGAAATATATCATTACTTCCTACGCTTTGAAAAAACACTGACAGCTAATTTTTGAAGCTTGTTGTGTCCCATGTTTGTTTGCTGCAACAAACTAGAACACTTTAAAGAACAATAGGACAGTTCTTAAATTTATGGAAACAAAACTCAAAACTGACAAATAGCACTCTGAAATAGCAAACTTATCTGAGTGAAAAAGTGTCTGAGCGGCTGCACAAATTTCAATTGTTACGTCACGCTTCACTTACTGCTAAGTAGAACTTGGTGCTCTGGTAATCTTCCGTTATTACTCCTCTAGGCCAGGGGTGTGCAACCTCCAATTTTGGATGGTGTGCTTCCCGCGAAACGAGTTTTAATCTGGCACGAGCGAGTAAGCCAATACCTGTGCCTGAGTCTAATTTATTATCTATGCCTATGCTGTTTTGATGCTCTAACAGCTGGCTTGTTCGAAGCGAACAACGTGTTTCATATGGTTTCACCCAGTAATTGCATCGGGCCCTCCTGTATTAAAGGTTTCACGGCCCTGATCTAGATCAGTGTCTCCCAATATTTTTGGTGACAGACCCCTGTAACCCTTTTAACTAAAACAAGACCTAATATAGAATATTTTGTGTTCAGCATCAATATTCCATTATTTCACAATGTACTTCAAATCGTGAATTATTGAATTTGGTATCTCCTAGTAGCAATTTGGCTGAAAGAGAGATTCTCATTCACAAAAAATGGGTTGTGGCAGTTGACAATAAGTTGTGAAAAAGATTCTCCATTTGCACTTTAAATTTCACCCTATTATTACTGTTTTGTGCTATTTTTGGGATGAGAACTTTTTAACAGTCTCGAACAACTGCACCCAGCTTTATATTCATTTGATATGAATTGCAATAAAGATTATTTTGAGGTCTGATTTGATATATTTTGCTATTGTGTTTCCGGGTGGGACTGTGCATATAGCAGATCTGTGGAGTCTTGAGTTTGCTATGTCTGTTTTGGAGTTTGAGCTGGACATAGATTTTCCTTCCCGAAGTCTAAATTTCTGACTTTTTTAGGGGTAGTGGCAGATTCATTTATTTTCAGTATTTCTCAGATTGTGTTAGATGCAACTCGCGCTTTTGTTTTTATATAGTTTGAAAAGTTGAAGTAATAAAAATGCGGGTGTAACCAATTCATCTATGAGACTTCGGAACATCCTCATGGGAACATGAGGGCTACGCTCGAATATAACTTATACTTATATTGACACTTAGCGCTACCTGGTGGCAAATGTCGAAGACGTCATGGCACACAAAAAAAAAGCGAATCCCATGCAGCTCATTGGGACATTTGAAATAAATAAAAGTAATGGCCTTCTCGCAAAAACTTTAATCTTCGAGCACTGATCGATCACCTATATGCTGATTATGAAGTCAAAACAGACTTATCCGGGCACGTGCTTTCTCACCACTTCAAAAAATTCTAGTAAATAGGATAGTATTTACATATTTATCCTGAGGAGAGAGGAAAGCCGATAAGACGGCTTATCCATATGGCGAACCACGGCCTCTCGTCCGGTTACCATTCCAAGTCGGGTATGGGATTAGTTATATCGTTTGTTTTCGGAAGCATGGACTTGGTGGTGGAGGAAGCCGTAACCGACCAGCGGTTACGTGAACCACCCAACGACGGCGAGGAGTCCAGCAATCCTCTCGCACATAACCATCCCTGCATGGGATTCGAACCTGCGAACCCACGCAGAGTGATTAGAGGTGCGGTGGCGAGCGTATTCCTAAAGCTTAGCCCGTTGAGCCACACCGCCGCGCCAAATTGGGTGAGCTGCGTCAGGATTTTATTTCGCACGTGCTCGTCGTCCCATGCAAAATAAAAATATAATGCGAAAGATGCAAAAATTAATAAAAGTTCATGAATGAGTACATATATATAAGTTAACAATAAGTCCATACATCTGAAATGAATAACTGACCAACTATCCCCATGCCGACATGGACTGGTAACGTAACGGACAAGAGGCCGTTGTCTTCGATATGATTGGACCGTTTTATCGGTTTTCTTTTACTTTGGTAACATATGTAAATTTAATTCTAGACCCAACAGAAAATATTGAAATTTTTCTATTTTTTATTTAACTCTAATTTCTATGACTCGGATTTGCGATTATTCAGGTAGAAAATTACCACAGCTTGGGACTGCCCCTAGTGGTAGATTGGGAAACATCTCCACGTTCTTTTAGGATATTTTCCTTACGAGATGGCACCTAAAGGAGGTAATTCCGCCTTATTTTGATGTTTTTATGTGAATTTATTGACATTTCAGCGGTAAATGTTTTCTATTAATACTTAGCTACATAATGAGGTTGGTATAGAACCTAGAAAGTCGGGCCAAAAGGGATTTAACTGTGAGAACTTGCCTTTTATGAGTAGGCAGTGTGAGAGTAAACTGGTAGAAGATCTAGGTTTGCCAGTTATGTGATGTTTTAATTTAAACTCTTTAGTCTCGTAAGTCTGCTTTTTGTTTATAACCGTGATTGACAGTTTATGACTCTGGTGATTGACAGTTTAGGACTCCGGTGATTGACAGTTTAGGACTCTGGTACAGATTTATATTTGTGGGAAAGTGAATGCAGAAATGTCTGAATGTAGTCTGTCTAGCTGAATGGCGACATGTTTCTGTGTTCAGATATTGACAAAATGAAAATATTTTTGGCAATAACCAGACTGTTCTTTGCTTAAACGGCGCCCAAATTGTGCGATAAAACATTCATATAACAGTGCTAGCGATAATATTTGAAATTGTCAATATACGTCGATTTTTAGCCAAGATATGGGCGTTTGAAATTTTTGTTTTAAGTTTGGTACTTTTACGATATCGCATTGACGACCTGCCATATTTTATTACACTTTGGTTGACATGTTGGGCATAGGACTTGAACTTGAGATTGCTTAACCAATTTATTTAATGGATTTGAGTCAGTTTAACCAAATAATCTTTTTTTCTTCAACAGCAAAAGAGAAGGCTCTGAAAGCGAAGAAGGCCGTTATCAAAGGTCTTCATTCGCACAAGAAGAGGAAAGTCCGCACGTCTGTACATTTCCACATTCCTAAAACGCTGAAACACACGAGGAAACCAAAGTATCCCCGCAAGAGTACGCAGAAGAGGAATAAGTCAGTATATTCATTTTTTTGTGAAAATTTGTTTATTTTTGTACTCATTACAGTAAAGCAGCGATTCCCAAATGAACGCCGTTGTCGATGTGTGTCACGAAAATTAATAGGATTGTGTTTAAAACTGTATTTAAATGCAGCATATTCTTTGTGTAATTGCGTCGTGAGTTTGTTTGAGGGGCAATGTCCTCAGATTCCAAGATGTCCTGACATTTGACTCAAAAAACAAGTCCTCAGATTCCAAGATGTCTCGACATTTGACTCAATAAAACAAACACTCATTTTGTCTCTGATACAAGAGCTTCTGTTAGGTGGCAGATGCGTTAGATCGCGCCAAGCTTGTCTTGGTAATTATTTAAATCAATTGCGACAGATGTCCATCGTCACATGACCAAAATTGTGTTTTTTTGATAAAAACTTTCGAATGCTATGGCAAAATTTTGCTAATATTAATATTTTGCTTCAAACTTTTCAGGATGGATCAGTTTGCAATCATCAAGCATCCTTTGACAACCGAGAGCGCAATGAAGAAGATTGAAGATAACAATACATTGGTTTTTATTGTTGACATCAAGGTAGGGATTTTACTTTGCTAACTGAATGTATAGGGTTTCCAAAGGGAATTTATCGATATCATATTATATTTTGGCCCTCACAGATGTATTAAATGAAGTAAAAAACTTAAACAATTACTGATCAAAAAACAACAAACCTGGTTAGGATATATTGAAAACTGACCATAACAAAATTGAAACTGTAAAGAGACTTTATGGACATCATGCCTATACCTATACCTAGGCTTTACCAGTTTGTGGATCTGGATGTCAGAGGAGAATAGGGGTGTTGTTGTTGGAAAAAAATTATCGCCCAACCCTAACCTGTTACCCATGTTACGTTCTGATGTCTGCCATCTTTGTTCGCATACTTCGGGAGCACCGATTTATGTTACATTTTGGGAATAATTTCAATTGAATTCTCACAGTATTGTTAAAAGGCTTTCTTTGTTAGTTTCTGAAGACTGTAGATAACGGAAATTTAGCATAAACATAATTTAGAATATATTCGATTATCTATTTTGAAGAAGATTATTTTAGAATTTATGTATGATAGTATTGTCCTTGCTATTTCTTTCCTCATGTATCTCGTCACTGTTGTAAGAGATTCAAGGGTGCTCCCGAAGTATGCGAACCAAGATGGCGGACATTGGAACGTAACAGGTTAGGGTTAGGCGATAATTTTTTTCCAATTTTCCTTATTTTAGTCCCATTATCAGTTCGAAGACTAGCCAAGAGCCTCCCGTAGTATTTATACCTAAAATTATGGCCTAACCCTAACCTAGTACACATATTACATTCCGATGTCCGCCATCTTGGTTCGCATACTTCGGGAGCACCAATTCAAGATTCTTTCTACACACTAACGCATGGTTTTCCAAACTGGAGCTCTTCCAGGAAGTCTGAGATGACTACACAGGGGGTCCACAACGATGTGAAAAGAGTGATCGATTTTAGATGATAAATTTCAATCAAGAAGTTACTGCATCTGTTTGGTTGATTATGGCAGATGATGGGGATCCATCAAAAATAAAATTCACAAACAGTACTCCACTGCCCAATAAGTTTGGTAAACCGTGCACTAACAAAACTGTATTTCTGTAACAATACCTCTCCGATTGCTATATTTTCTCCTTTTCAGGCCAACAAACCTCAGATCAAGCAAGCAGTTAAGAAATTGTACGACATCGACGTGTCAAAGGTCAACACCTTGATCAGACCGGATGGACGTAAGAAGGCGTACGTCAAACTTGCTCCTGACTACGATGCGTTGGATGTAGCGAATAAAATTGGAATTATCTAAATTTTATGCACGCTATTAAAATTTATGGAAATGATTATTTGGTTTGTTATTGTGTGTAAGGCTTTCGAGCCATTGGGGACAGTAGAGAGTGGTAATTAAGGGACGGTATATTGTCAGGTCACCACTGTACTACCAGGTCGAATGTAGCCTACTATAAATTGTAGTTTATTTAGAAGCATCGAAAGTTACGTATTAGATTATGTATAGGTGTGAGTTATTCCCATCCCTTTGTGTTTCAATGCTTATACCTGGGTCCAATTTATTATCTATGGCTATGGCGTTACAATGCCCTTACAGCTAACTTGTTCGATGCGAACAATGCATGTCATAAAATCAATAACCAAAGTTGTTGTTCCTGTAACTAACTACTAATAGAAGGGTATGTCGAGTAAAAATGCAGTCTGTGGTTTCACCCAATCATTTGTATTTGTGTATAAAAGGTTAAACACCCCTGATGTAGAGCATGTCATGTTGATGTAGCTTACGTAGTGAAATCCATACATTTTCTGAAATGAGGAAACTGTTGCTCTTTGGGTTTGATGCCAGAGAACCGTTCTTAAAATATTGAATTCCATCACTGGCTATAAGGTAATGTATCTGGAATACCTACGGTAATTGCATTTGCTGGTGTTGAAGCGGCATCCAGTCTCATCGGCTTTCCTTGTTCCTCTGTGTGAATATGAGAATCTTTTTCTAATCATATGGCAGACAACAGACTCTTATGCAGTTACAGTGGAAATCTAGGGCGCGAATTTGTGTAAGAAACTTTCAAATGATACGGGTCCCGAAAAGCCTGTATTTGGTCCTCTAGGTCAGGGTTTCTCAAACTGGGGTTCCTGATGACTGCACAGGGGTTCCGCAGCGATATGAAAAAAGTGTGATTAGTTTTTAATGATTATTCCAACCACATAGTCATTGCATCTTTTTGGTTGGGGCTTTGCAGTCGTATATCCATTGCTGTTAGAAAAGGCAATTAAGAATTATATTGCCTTTTGCAACGACCCACATGTGCAAGGGAGCATTTTCAGCTCTTTTTAATCTGGGAAATCCTGCTCTCTATGTAAGTTGGAGTATATTGAATATCGAAGTGTGTGGCTCATTTCTTACGACTGACATTGTTTGGAGCAAACTTATAATATCTCTTATAAATCTCAGTGGCTAAGGCACCACTTCCTGTTCAGTTGATTGTGTTTCAGGAGTTCTTTTTTAAAGAGGAACCCATGGTATATCTGAGCAAACTCAGGACCGACCACTGAGACGACAAGAGTTAGCTACTAAACATAGGAGATTTTCACTTATTCAGCGGCCCCAAAATATACATAAAAACCGGGGCTCCCGAAGTATGCGAACCAAGATGGCGGACATCGGAATGTAATATGTGTACTAGGTTAGGGTTAGGCCATAATTTTAGCTATAAATACTACGGGAGGCTCTTGGCTAGTCTTCGAACTGATAATAGGACTAAAATAAGGAAAATTGGAAAAAAATTATCGCCTAACCCTAACCTGTTACCCATGTTACGTTCCGATGTCCGCCATCTTGGTTCACATACTTCGGGAGCACCTAAAAACCAATGGTCAACGTTGCGCTTGCTGTACTGTAACAAAGAACTGTGTTTCAAGTATTTTTTAATTCAGTTTCAATGAAAAGCTTGACTAGTTCTACCACTGATACTCAGATAGATTACTGAGCGCAACAAACCACACAAAATATAAAACACGTTTTATCAATAACTCACTACAGAAAATAGTCATGTTAGAATTTCGTTGAAAAAATATGACTCCAATGAAAATAAAATTGGGGAATTCATCTCGACCATTAGCGAATATGCTTATTTCTTACAAATTTCCCCGATTCCGCAGGGTGGTTCACGTAAACGCTGTTCGGTTACGGCTTCCTCCTTCCTTGAAGACAAATAACTTACTTATCCCATACCCGACATGGACAGGCAACCAGACGAGAGGCCGTGGTTCATCATATGATTAAGCTGTCTTATCTACTTTCCTATCCCCGAGATAAACATGTAAATCATATCCTATTTTCAAAAAATAAGCACACAAGGAAGTTCAGAGGTCGTGTATAATTCAATCAGTAGCAGAGAAATAAACAAAAGAATATCACAGTAAAGTTGGATTATAATGTTGGATATATGACAGAAGAGTTTGATTATGATAATTGCAATTTTTACCAGTTTTGTACATGGCAAGGAAACTACTGTGCACAAAAAAATGAATAGTCTGGCTCTAGAGTTTGGTATGTTTTATTTATCGTATAGCCAGTGTCTTATTTTAAACTCCTGAAAATAAGATTTTTTTCAACTTCTTTGTTGATGATAGAATTGTCTAGATATTCGAATAGTCTGGCTCTAGAGTTTGGTATGTTTTATTTATCGTATAGCCAGTGTCTTATTTTAAACTCCTGAAAATAAGATTTTTTTCAACTTCTTTGTTGATGATAGAATTGTCTAGATATTCGAATAGTCTTGCTCAGAGTTTGGTACGTATGTAGTGATAATTGAGCCAAAATCTTATTTTAAACTCCTAAAAATAAGATTTTTTTTACTTCTGATCAAAATCAGAATTATATTTTTCGTATACGACACTTATCAATGTCTTAAACTCCAAACAAGGAGTCAACTGATATCAGAGATATTATTTTAGACAGAAAATAAAAAACCAAGTTGAATAAGCATTCTCAACAGATAATTAGGGAATGCACACGCGTAACTTTTACTCATCAAAATTTGGTTTTCGCTGGAGCTGAAATAGCACAAAATAAACGGTACTCCCGAGGTATGTGAACCAATATGGTGGACACCGAAACGTAGTATGTGCACCAGGTTAGGGTTGGACCATAATTTCATTCCAATTTTCCTTATTTAAGTTCTATTACGAGTTCGGGCACTAGCCAAGGGACTTCCGTAGTATTTGTACCTGAAATTATGGCCTAACCTGGGACACATACTACGTTCCGGTGTCTGCCATCTTGGTTCACATACTTCGGGAGTACCAAATAAACTAATAGAGTGAGGAGCTTTGCTGAAATTGGATACAATTCCTTTAAGCAACACTGGCACGTTGTGAGGGGAAATTTTGAGGCAATCCCTCATGGGGAACTCAACCCATAACAGTCTCACCTTGGTCCAAAAGAAAAGTTACAGAAATATATTTCCTTGGTGCGCAACAGAACTTAGCAGAACTTTTGAATCACATAGAAAAGTCATTTTTATTCTTGCCACTTCATCGTAGCATTATACGAAAACCAGAAAGGGTTCCAAACTGGGAACTCGTGTCCCCCAAAGAGGGTTACGGAGCAGTTGGAGGGGGGCCACAATGCCAGGAAGAAAAACCAATTTTACTTTTCGTAAATTGCCTCATACGGTTATTTCACAGGGTGTTTTCTCTTTGTCGATCATGAATTGTTTAAACATAAATGGAATTTGGAATCTACCAATCATAATAACATTATAAATTCCATTGGAATGATAAACTGGGGGCCAATGTGTGCTGAAAGCCTCAAGAAGGGGTCAAGGGTCATAAAAGGTTGGGGACCACTGCTATAGGGGTTTTTGTACCACAATAAGATTTGCTGTTAGTTTCTAGCTTGGAGTTCATGATATGTTCTGGATTAGGATAGATATAAAACTGAGCATATGGGTGGAAGCTTCAAAAGTCTGATGTATGGTAGAAATAACGGTTCTCTTGAAAGGGGAGAAACGTTGGTAAAACAAATAATTGTTCCATTTTAAAGAAAAAATTGACACAAAGTAATTCTGCGACTGAACCACTGGGGCAATAATATAACTCAAGCGTGACTGACAGAATCAGAGAGATAATTTTCAGTGATTAACAGAAAAGCTGAAAAAATCAAGAGCGAAAATTTGGTTTAGCAAAAAAATAAATTAGAAAAAAATCTCATTTTTAAGTAAAAAAAGAAAATATTTCAGCACAATGCAAATTTTATCATGATTGAACTAAAAATAAGGTTAAATTAAGAAAAAGTATAATTTTGGGCCAAGTTGTGCCGTTTTTTAGATTTTTTTGTCGTATGTTTTGTCGATTTTGATTTTTTCTTGACCCCCCCGGCTGATGTATGAATGTTCTCTGGGGTTTTCGATTCCGTGATTTGCGGCTCCCACGTACCGAGAGAAGGGTCAAAGGGCGATTTATTTCTCATACTCGGAGTCAATGAATCTGAGCCAGTAGGTGTCGCTCTTCCTTCTATTAGGGCACCCCCAGGATTTACGACATCAATAGGAACATTGTCATTATGATCTGCAGTTCCTGAGCGAGACGAGCCGCCGGATCCGTTGCTCCGCGGGGAACTGTTTGGCGCTTTTGTTTTCGCTAGAGGCCCACGTATCCGTGGTGACCCACTAATTCTTTCACCTTTTCGTTTCTTAGAATTTCTTCGTGTAGAACTTCCCCCCTCGTACCCTAGAAACCAGTCCGCGTCGCTTCCAAACTCCGGGTCATCATCATTGCACAGTGATTCGCCGAGACCAGCAGCCAGTTTCCTGGAATGAAAATATGTAGACAGGATAAGCCGGTGATTCGTAACCTTTTTAGAAGTTGTACTACTTTATTTAAGTTTGCTCTGGGCAAGGTCGCATGGTTATGAGAGACTTTTGACTCACTGATAGACGCTACCAGGATTAACTCAGTTGGACTTCCAAGTTAGCTAGGCAAGTTGCCAGGCTAGATAAAAGATTTTGATGCAGATTTTTTACGTCCATATATATATAGTTCTTGGCTTTTCATTTTAGCCATGATATCAACAATAATCAAACTCAGCATGTAATAGAAAACTGGCATACTACTATACTTTGCAGCAATGGCCAATAAAAAAACAGTGGAAAGAAGTGGCTGGAGGCATCTAGCACCCATCAGCAGCCTAAACCGAAATCCTAAATAGGACATTTGCATGCTACAGGTCAATTTTAGTATTTGGAACGTTTAACTTTCCACTATTCCTGTATCTGGCATGAACTGGTAGCTGAACTAAATACCATGGTCTGGCATAATTATGATTGGGTCTCCTAATCAGGATACCCCTCCTCTGGGATAAATAGGATGGGATAGGATAGGATTTACATATTTATCCCGGGGGAGAGGAAAGCCGATAAGACGGCTTATCCATATGGCGAACCACGGCCTCTCGTCCGGTTACCATTCCAAGTCGGGTATGGGATTTAGTTTTTTTTACTGTATTGTTTGTTTTCGGAAGCATGGACTTGGTGGTGGAGGAAGCCGTAACCGACCAGCGGTTACGTGAACCACCCAACGACGGCGAGGAGTCCAGCAATCCTCTCGCACATAACCATCCCTGCATGGGATTCGAACCTGCGAACCCACGCAGAGTAGTTAGAGGTGCGGTGGCGAGCGTATTCCTAACGCTTAGCCCGTTGAGCCACACCGCCACGCCGGGTCATGAGAAATGAGAAAAATGCGCACATACCCACTATTTGCAATTCTCTGTGAAGCTATTCTGCTGGAGTTTCTTCCCATCCCCATACATTTCTCAAGATGTGGAGCAAACCTGCTTGCAGCTAACGTTCGTTTGCAGTTTGGGCATTCACATTCAATCTAAAGAATGATATATCGCCGGATGAGAACAGAACAGATTTAAGTCACAATTTTGAGTTTTGAGAAAAACGCAAAAAACAATTTGGAATTTTTTTTATTTTTGAATTTCTAGATATTCACACTTAATAAACCCCTGAGCACTGGTTATTTTAATGTGGATGTGAAAATCTTTGTAATCAATATCTTTTGGCACTTCAGCTTCAATTCTTTCCTGCTTTTTTAACCCCATAATGGACTTTGGCCCATTCTGTTCTCAACAACTTCTGAATTTTTTTTGTATGGGATGCAAGGTAAAAACAAGGTGACTTAGGCCTAAGTTGCACTGAAGAAATTTTTAGGGATGTAAGTTTCGGACATTTCATTTCTGATGTTCATGCCCATCACTTCCACAGTCCTAAGTCCAGCTAAAAATTTTATTATTGAGAAATTCAGGATTTCAAGACCACCAACTTGTAGAGCATGGCTCAAAACCCCAAAATATTGAAAAAAGTGAATTATGCAAAAATGTGACTTAGGACCCTTCTGTTCTCATCCGGCGATATATTTATTCACATATTGTTTTCTGCGTAAAAGACTATGGGACAACACTATTCGAGCCCCCTAATTGATTTCAATCCAGGGATCAGTCCATATATATTTGAAATTGACTAGTAATTTGGTATCTAGATGTTGTATATTGTCCTATTACTATCGAGTATTTCCGATCTGCTATTATATTTGAGAATGAGAAGCGTACATAAAAGCTTCTATCTTAAAATGTTTCAATTCAATGATTTCAATTTGAAAACAACTGAAACTCTTATTTTACTCAAATTTCTCATTTCAATAACACTCATTAGAGTTGTCAAAAATTGTCGAGGAAGCGCATTTTTAAACTTTGCCGTGGGTGCCATTTTACGTAGATACGCCACTGTCAGAACTGTAGAGACATAGTTTTAGTTGGAGACCTTTTTGGCACCCCTGTCACATAACATTCTGACTCTTCGAATACTGTGCACACATACCGTTTTTTTACTCCCTGATTTTGGGACTCCGAAAACGTCGAAACCTGGTTGGTCAACGATTTTATATTTCTCTTCTTCCTCAGGATCTACGTCGTCAATGAATAACGTACCGACACGTGACGATCTGTGAACCTTGGAATAGAAATGTGTTTTTTTATTAATATTGTGGGGGGGGAGAGGAAAGCTTACATATAATAGGCTACTGATGATCAGTAGTGGATTTACAAATACCGGGGTAATAGAAATATGTTTTATTAATATTGTGGTAGAACAGGGGATAGGGAAGCTTTGATATAATGAGCTACTCATGGCCAAGAATATATTTGGGACGAGGGCCATTTATCGGATGTCATAGAAACTTTGATAAGATCGAAATTGTCATATTTATCTTGGAAGGAGAGGATCTTATGGGACAGCCTGTTATCGCATATCATATGAATACAAATACCAGCCTAGCTAATTAAATAGTTTTTATAGCTTTGGGCATCGTAATATAAACTTTTGGTTAACCATAAAGAAAATGGAAAAATGACACAGTATGTCTTTATAATATGGCAATGAATTTTTAGTTACCGTCTGGGTTATTTCCTTATTCATGACAGAATTAGAGGCATGCGTTCCTATTTTGAATAAATATTTCAGAGAAAAATTATTGCCTCTTGTTTTGATGATATTTGAACTTGTTTTTAAAAAGACCCACTATTTTGATCTTATTTTGACATAAATAGAAATGAAGCATGGCTTGACAGCACTAGCCTCAGAGGTTAGACAGGAGTATCCTTACTATAGCCAGCTACACTTCATCGATTTTGCGACAGGAAAAGTTCAGTTTCCGCAACAAATAGGCCCATATTATCCCTTCAATAAAAAATCATGAACTATTTCGCTAATTTAAAATTATAAATGTGCAGCCCTGTTATCCTAAATTGATACCAAATTATTCTGCCCATTTATATCGGCCTATACTGATATATATACATGCAAATTTTATTTGATTTTGGTCAAGTTTAAAAATAACTTGCTGGAAAACTGCTGGACCATTTATAATCACAAATTTGGAATTAACATAAATGCTTACCTCGAAACAAGTCCCAAGAATTGCTTCGTCAATCATTTCACTGAGGAAATCGTCAGCATATTTCTGCAAGTCGGCCATTTTGCATTGCTTCAAAATTGCAATACATTCGCCCTTTTGTCCGTCTCTATTGTAAAGGTTTATACAAAACGGGTCTGGAAAACACCTTTACTACAGATTTCCACAACTAACTTCAAACGATATATTACCATATCACATTCAGGATTCAGCTATATAGGTCAATCTGATCAAAAATATTTTTTTGGTTTGAGTAGATAATCATTGGCCAATTATGCAAACGCGGACAAACGCCCTGCAAAGGTTGCTAAAATATATCATTTATGGCGAAAAAGGATGGCTGTGCTGTTATAATTGATTAAATTTTATTATGATCATTGATCATCACTTTAAAACGATCTTTTTTCGCGTTTATAATAACAAAAACATGATTGAATACGCCAGGAAAGCATGAACATTTTCGCTATCAATCACGGGGCACGCCGTCACGGGAGTGAGATCAGCACCTCAGAAGTGAGTCATCGATACTAAAAGAGACACAATAACCGCCGAGTCGGCGGGTAAGTTAAAGAAACAAGCGCTTTCTATCTTTGAGTAGCTCTGCGGGAGACGTGGAAAAGAAAAAAGTAATCTTAACTAAACAGCTGTTTCGAAATTAATGGCCCTTGAAATCTTCGATCTGAATTTACAATCATTTTGCCGCTGGCCTTGAAGTTGTAAGTTTAATAATAGGTCATCGATCGATGTTCGCTGATATTCGTTTGCTTGCTATGCGCGTTTGCAGTAAACAAAAATAGTATAATAAATCGAAGATTGGTAAATTTTTGTGGTGTAATTAATAAGGTAAAAGCAGCTGTTTTCGCTGATAAAGTTTGTGAAGGACGAAACATCAGTCGCATCTGCATATGTTTGCAAAACAAAGAGAGCGCAGTTGCGCAAGCTCTATCGATGACTAAATGTTTTTGCTTTGTTTGCGATCTTTGACGTAATCTGTGATAGATTTTCGTTTGCGTGAAAACTCGCCTCGATATTTGATGAAACGCTCCGATTAGAAATAATATGAAAACCTAATTTCTCCATTATATCTAGTTCTTATAGTGCATATTTGATGAGTTAGCTGTTATTTAGTATTCCCAACGTTTTTAATCAGCACTGGGCGATTTTAGTATTGACTCGCTTGTAAACCTGTATACAGCGTCGCTCCGTAATGATTTATGGATTTATCGCGTTGACCATCGATTGATTATTTACTACTGTGCGTACTATGCCATCCGCTGTTGTATTTTCCAATATTTAATTCAGTAATAGCGGATAGTTTCTATACCTAGCGGGATTCCAGAGCAACTGGTCGATTTTGCAAAAGTTTAATCGCTTAAATCTTGCCCGTGTTTATATTTTTATGAGTATTACGGAATGGAAAATGGGGATTTCGCAGCTTAGCTTTATCATAATGTAATAGAAATAGTATAAAAAATAACTTAAGAAGATCAGAGATTAGAGGGATACCTACATGTACTAGGCCTTGTTGCTGTGTTAGTGTCAGGTTGATTGACTGGGGAATAGTAAACAATAACAGTTATTAGTATTAGGATAATTCACGCCACAAAATTGTCTTGCCTATTTTGGTTAGTGGTAGTGATTCTTCTGACGCTGGATAAGATGGCAGTATTTGCTGTTTTTTCAAGGGTAGCCTCATACCGGTCTATATCATAAATTTTTGCGCATATGAACAATCGTAACATGGCTCAGTGTAGAATAAAAACCAATTCTACTACTCTCTTTTCAATGTTAACCGATTTGAAGTCGGTTGATGAGTAATTTTTCCAGAAAATGGATTGATAGTTCTCTTAGCATTAAATTTACGGGTCTCGTGTAGTTTCGTACCTAACATACTTCTAGTGGGCGTAGCATAACAATTTTTTGACATACCAATCCTAACCCCCATCTGATTATGCCATCCAAAAATTAAATCGCTACGACATTACAATCACGTCATAGAGCTTGCCAAATATACGCACGATCGACCGAAATGGCATTGGCGCCGGCGATAAAGAACTGACTGACGTTATCGGTCTCTCTCCTATTGGAATTGTTGCGACGAGAAAACGAGAGAAACAACTGTTCGATTTCGGGTGCTCGTTTACGCGTCTTGGATGGCAGTTCGTATAGTTTGAAGGGCTCTATTACGTCACTGTGACGTCGTAATGACGTAATTTTTGAATGATGTAGTCAGGTTGGGGTTAGGATTGATACGTGAAAAAATTGCCATTCTACGCCCAGTAGAAGTATGTTAGGTAAGAAACTACATGAGACCCAAAATTACTTGCTACGTACAGTTTGGACTTTCGTACAGTTCGTACTTGATTAACCTTTTTATTTTGTCTTTGCACATTGTAACCACAATCTCCCAAACTACCATACTTTTCAAGACAGAATTACTTTTGCTTTTGAGTAATCCAATTGAATTGGATAATCTCCCGTCTTCTGTGGTCTGATGTGTGAATACAATCTTTAGTATAGTATTTTAGTTTCTCGATTCAGCAAACCCATTCGGTACTCACTGACAGTAACAGAAGTTCTGTAACTAAAATTCTCCTTTTTAATTAGAATCTTGGGTGTTGCTGCCCAATAACCAGCTTTGGTTTCCCGCGACTTCCATTTACCAGTAAAATTGTATGATTATCTTTATTTTTTGAATATTGTATATCAATGTTTTTTACTGGTTGGGGAAAATAGACTTGACTTGACTCAAATTGCCTTCTTAGATGTGAAACCCTGGACTAATGTATCTTATTTTTATAACAGTAACACATATATTCAATAAAAATGAGGGCAAACGTCATCATTTTGTTTCTTGCAACATCCGTTGCACATCTCTGCAACGCTGAAACCAGCGTCGTTATTCTCCACGAAGAAATATCAAAAACTTCACCCCTGGAACTAACATGTGGCGATGTGATTACCCTTGGAGGAAACGACACTCTAACATGGATGTACACCAATTCCAGTAATGTGAACCAGACGCTAACTGGTCATAATTTGTATATTAATGTCACTGACAACCATGCTACTGGAGAATATGTGTGTTACCTAAATGGAAAAGAGAAGATTGCTTACACTGCTGCAAAACTCACTGAGCCAGAGATATTGGTGAGTATGGAATGTAAATGTGATGGCTCATTCTTTAAAACTGTTTTTAACTTATTACTCGTTTGTTGGACAATCATTAGGTACAGTGTTATTTCGGTCTTTTTCAATTTTTTTTTCAAAAAATGACGCCAGGGTTTATTCTGGGGGGATGTCTTTTATTTTCATTTATCAAAACAAAATTACAAAGTAGAGAATTATGAGATTTTCAAATATACAAAATATTAAAACCGATATCTATTTACACACATATAACACATTTTTATTTAAAAAAATTGCATAGATTAATAAACGTAGATTATTCGAAAATTTCTTGCTATCTACTAGGTAAAAAAAATTGCGCTATTGACTAGGTCTTGTTTTAAAGGTGGGGCCTTTAATTTTAGAATTTTTGGGCGTGGTCTTATTTTCGGGCTTCCTGATAGATCACTGACTAGTGATATGAGAGACTTGAACTCAAGTTTTTGAATAGTTTGTAATGTGGGTATATGTGTTACAATACTAATGAATAAGTCATTCTAGCGACACTACTCGGAAATACAAATTAAAATCCCCCCTCCCCCCTCCAAAAACAGTAAAATTACTCTTTGATAAGGATTTTGCTAAACGCTGGGTTGAAGTGTTGGCCTTTGGCTTGACGGTTTATGCAATTGGGTTATGTAAATAAAATGATCTGATTTTCATTACTCTCTCTTGATAGTGGATGATTGTTTCCACTTATTAGAGTTTCTAGGTGCAGATTATCTTTATCTCCAAGCTTATTAGATAATAGAAGGAATTAGGGTCAGGATTTTTTTCCCAAGTTTGTTCAAACGAAGATCTTTAGAATAGTCACATTTTTGTTCAGCAACACATTTTTGATAATTTCTCTGTAATATAGTCTCAGTAGTGTTCACCTGTAATCTTGCTTAAGAGCTCAATTTCTTAGTTTTTTGAGTGAGTTTGCATGACCTTGGAGAGAAAGATTGAGAATATGTGTTTCCCTCAATTTCCCAGAATGGATTTTTCAAGTTTGGTCTTAGTCCCTTTACTTACACAACTTGATGTAAAGTAGGCGAACAAAATTAGTTAACTATATAGTCTATATATTGGTACACACATTTCTGGAGCGCCCACTTCATTTTAAGATGTTTGGATTAATAAGGTTAAATTAAAGTCCTAACCATGCAATCTAAAAGACAATAAAACAGATAATGAGTTGACGTGCAGTTAGTGAACATGATTTGCAGACAGATGAAAATTCTTGACCCTCTCCTTTCACAGAACACCAGGACTTCCATCACATACAATGAAGGAGATACAAACAGAAAGATCACTTGCAAGTCTGAGGGTTCGTATCCTGATCCAGAATTTACCTGGACACGTCGAGGGGAGTTGGAAGGAGAAGTCGCAATTCTCGTGACCTCGGAAACCAATCCTAATTATGTGATCACGAATAATGGTACAAGGTGAGCAGATATTGAATAAACGGGGCTCCCGAAATATGCGAACCAAGATGGCGGGCATCGGAATGTAATATGTGTACTAGGTTAGGGTTAGGCCACAATTTTAGGTATAAATACTACGGGAGGCTCTTGGCTAGTCTTCGAACTGATAATAGGACTAAAATAAGGAAAATTAGAAAAAAATTATCGCCTAACCCTAACCTGTTACCCATGTTACGTTCCGATGTCCGCCATCTTGGTTCGCATACTTCGGGAGCACCGAATAAACTTTGAATTTGAAAAAAAAGCATTTTTCTAATACATAGCAATTTTTCATAGCTTAAAACACTTTCAAACCCTCACGACTCTTGAAATATCACTTTTTTGTTTCGCGTCCGGACCCGCTCGTTATTACGATCTAACTTGGCAATCGGAAATATCAAAACCCCCTTTGAAACTTCCTTGCTGATTTTGTCTAACGCTTTAACCAAGTGATGTCTATTTTTTGGCGTCCCAGAAGTGTGTTTACCAATATGGAGGTAAATAATTTTGTTCGCCTACTTAACATTAGGTTGTGTAAAGGGACTGAAACCTTTGGGCAGGGGGTATATTTACTTGACTAACACAGACAGTCCCCGAACTCATAATAGAACTAAAATAAGGAAATTCAGAATAAAATTATGACCTAACTAGAACCTGGTCCACACAATACGGGAATACCTACTTTTGTATGTAATGTATTTGCCCCAAAAGTGTAACATCTACATAATATGTCTCTCAATTAAACCAAATACTTTTCAGGTCTGTTCTCAAATTCTACAACGTCACCTATGAGGAGAGTTCCAACTTTATCTGTTTCGTTCAGAATGTTGCTGGGAATGGGACTGTTGAGGTGAGTGTGAAGAAATTTGCTGAAACCAGGTTCATTCAGAAATAAAAGCTTATTAGGCCTTTGAATTTGTTCTATGCATAAGTTTGTCATAAATTTGGGTACTTCCCGTAGTGTATGTATATTTTACTTCTATTTTCCTTAGTTCTATGACGAGTTCGAGGACTGTCGGTGTTATCCAAGTGAATATAACCCCTGCCCATAGGTTTCAGTCCCTTTACACAACTTGATGTAAAGTAGGCGAACAAAATTAGTTTCCTCCATATTGGTACACATACTTCTAGAGCACCTAAATTTGTTTGGAGATGCGTCTCCTTTACTTTTGAGTGAGTGTGTGTGATCAAATATGCGAGTCAAGTCGCTTCCAAATCCTTGTTGAATGTTGAATTTTATCCAACTCGAGTTGGCTCATTCCTGACACTGAGAAAACAACTCATTGAGGATTGAGGCTGGAAATACATACCAATTTTCTGATTTAGAATAGTTAAATTGAATCCAGAATACCGAATTCCATTTTCTTGTTCCATTTATAGTAAAATAGAAATTTTAAGCAGGGCTCATGAAAAAATAACCAATAAATTATTTATTTTTCTAATTTTTTTACCAGGTTCTCGTCAGAGTGAAGGATAAATACGCTGCAGTCTGGCCTTTCCTTGGAATCGTAACGGAAGTCGTGATTCTGATTGCTGTGATTTTCTTGTACGAAAAACGAAGCAAAAATGTAAGATTTTTTTACATGAAAACTTTTTTTGCAGGGGGGGGGGGATTATGTTATGTGATTTAATAGTCGTGCTGCACATTATACGAAAACATTCCATAATGTTTCATCTGATCAAGATCAACTCTTTTAGGCAGGCATATTTCAATTGTTTCAACAATTTCAATTTTTTATATTTCAATAATTCGGGGGATGAACAAATTATGAATGTTGTTATTAGGATGAATAAATTGAAAGTCAAGTAAGAGTGACATGATTGTAATATGAATTAAATCATCAAACTAAGCAACAAACTCAACCCTACATTATGCTGGCCGGGGAAGCGGCCCCTATTTCCACACCTGTCTCCGCCCGGGGGCTATAAATTTTGCAGGCTCAAGCCTTCGTTCAAAACAAGTTTGTTTTTTATTCAATAGTGCTAAAATTTGAAAAGAACTGGTCTAGATTTTCATTTTCTCATTAAAATACGAACCTGACTGATTTTTTAACTGTCCAAATAAAGCAGTGAAATTAACGGTAAATACATCCGATCCATTAAATCAGGGTTTCTCAACCTGGGGGCCGCGAATCCCCAGGTGTTCACGAGAAGATTTCCAGGGGTACTTGGATCGCAGTCTAGTTTTTGTGTATTGCTGTTTTTTAACATCCTTTATTACTACCAGAGGAAAATGTGTGTTGATTGAAACTAGATGCCAATTGAAACGTAGATTTTCCCTGACGTTGCGTTGTTGTGATTGTGACACGACAATGTGAAATTTACGGCTACGAAAGTGATTATGCTTATTAAAACTTGGGAGATATTTTGAAAATTCATTAGTTAGGCAGGGGCAATAATATTAACACGGAGATTTAATTTAGTTACATCTGGTCAATAAATTGTTGTTTCAACAAATCGTTAGTCAACATAACACAACTTTGTTTGGTGTCTGAATACCGGGGGTTCGCTATTATTGTTTTTTAGACTGTAGACTGGGGGGGGGACTTGACAGAAAAAACGGTTAAGAACCCATGCATTAGATGAAGTAATGTCAATTAACTCAGGCCTTTTCAATCTGTGAGTAGCAATGTGTCTTTATTTCTATAAATTTATTACGGGGCTCAGTAATTAATAATAGTCAACCTCACTCTGTAACACCAAAAGTTTAAGAACCCCTACCCTAGATCAGGGCTACTCAACTATTTTTACCGAAGATCCGCATACAAAACTTCAAAATTATTTGGGTCCGCACTTTCCAGAAATTGTATTTCGTCATCCTTGAACACACACTTCCTCGATTGGCTAATGATTATTAGCTAATCAAGATTGTTTATAATGGTGTTATAGTTCTTTATATATATATTCAAAACTATAAAAGTCATTTTATAAAATGAAACTTCAAAAGTGGGGCTAATGATCCAAAATAAAGATTGATGTGCGGTTCGAATCAAATACTCGAAAGGTCCAGATTCGGACTGCAGTCCACCAGTTGAGTAGCCCTGACCTAGGGCATCGCACCCACCTGAAGGAAACCTAAAGAAATTCTTGTCTTAAAACTTAATATTTTTTGTTCAGGCTGAAAGTAAGGAAGAGGTGTGTGTCAATCTTGGTGAGGATGAAAAACTGACCACTGAAAGCGGAACAGAAGTAAGAAACAGGAACGGAGGAAAATAAACGACAAACTGATTTTATAAAATTATGTTTTTAAAAACGTTTGTGAATAATGTTAATTGCTTTATACACCGTCTTCACACTTCCACTATGAGCAAGGATTTTCTGTAAGCAGTGACTGATACAGGCAGGATATTGTTTGAAATACTTCAATCTTTTTATCTAGAGAAGTCTACTCTATTCATACCATAGGTTTCAATCTTTAACAGGAGAAACTTAAAATGAATAAATAAAATTGGCCATTTTATTATGCAACATGCGGTCATATTCAAGTCAATCTATTGCAGGATTCCCCAAACTTTTAAGATCACAACCCTTTCCAATATATTGAAATTTTTTGGCGCCTGTTTGAGCGGCGTGCTACATCTCGAGTCTTATGATTAAAGGCGGCATTGTTTTGCAGGCGCGCCGCTTCTCTGATTCTATGTATTTTCTCTAGCATTCATGTCTTGCACTAGTTTTAATAACTGTGTTTTGAATCAGAAGTTTAGAAAGTACAATTAATATAATACATTGTGTATGTTTGTGACCCCTAAAATTCGATGTCCCCCCCCCCCCCCCCTACAGGTCGCAACCCTAGGTTCGGGAAGCCTTGTGTATTGCTCATAACACGTTACAGATATCCATCCTGAACTTTTGATTTTTTGATTGTTAGTTTTATTGGTTGTTGCTTTGATGATCTTATGATTAATCAAATGTTGTAAATATTGTATGTTATTGTTTTTATTATGATCCAATTTTAATTGCTTATAAGTAATTCACGAAATTGCGGCATTGTTTGGATTGTTTTTAACCTATTTTATGAATTTCACAAATAATGACTTCTGAAAACTTTTTAAGCCACGCCCCTTTTTTAGAATTTGTCAAGCCACGCCCACCTCAAAAATAACTAGCTCACAATAAGCTACAAATAACAGATAGTAAGGCAAAAGCATGCTTTGATAAAAGACGTTGAAAATACTCGCTAATAAATGTGAAATACCAGTAACTTAGTGTTCGGTTATTTGTCCAATTTACTCTAATATTTCTAATAATACATGAATATACTGTGTGATTTCTAATCGAGTACGTTTTATCAATTTTTTATTTTAAATATCTTTATCTATGGTGACGCAAAAAAAAAAAAAAACTCAGATTATTTCGAACATATACTAGATAGAACATAACATTTGTTTGAAGCGTCAGGGCTACTCAACTATTCTTACCGAAGGTCCGCATGCAAAACTTATAAAAATATTTGGGTCCTATCTTTCCAGAAATTATATTTCGGCATTTTTAAACATGCACTTCCTTGGCCGAATAATGATTATTAGCCAACCAAGATTGTTCATTATAGCATTGTAGTTCTTTTCATATATATATATATTTAAATCTATAAAAGTGATTTTATAAAAAAAAAAAATTAAAAGTGGGGTTAATGATCCAATATAATGACTTAGGTGGGAATCGAATACCCGAAAGGTCCGAATTCGGACCGTAGTCCGCCAGTTGAGTAGCCCTGTCCTAGATTATTACTTATCAATTCTAATCGGTGAGTATGTTGATAGGTATTTGTCTGTCTGTCTGTCGGATGCACGCGATATCTCACGAAAGCGAGATTGAATCTGCTCCAGATTTTGCATGTGCATTCATCATATGTCGGACCAGAAGCCTATTGATTTTGAATGAATTATGTCATATAATTAGCAAGTTATCAATTAATTAGTGATGAGACACAAGGTGTCACTATGGAGTAAAAGCACTGTTTTGGGAGATCCCCTAACTTTCAATCGATAAGTCTTCGGTCTCTGACCGATACTCTCGTTGAAACCTTGGGAACCCTAAACAGATGTTCAAGTGTGAAAGATATTTTCCTTATTTTTTTCCAAGTGATTATGATATTTTTGAGTTCTGCTTTATTGAGCAATCGTATAATGATTTGTGATCCGTGGAATGCCTGTGAATAGAACTCGTTTTCTATTCTAAATAGATTTTGAAGGAAAGGAATTCTTATTTTTTTGTAATTAATACAAATTGAAAAATGCAAATGCACAATACTCTTGCTTGTTTAAATTCACCATAGTTTTAATTAGTAATATTGTAAATCTATCTATTTTACAGAAAAGTATGCACCCGCAAGACTTATGCTTTATTTTTATTTAAATTGGGTATATTTGACATTTACATTTTTAAGAATATTTTGAGTGTTGGTTTGAAAGTTATATTATAAATTTTGATGAGTATGCACCTTCAACTTTTGGTTTTCTTTTTAGGTGGTTGTTATGTACTTTTGCTGATTCATATTATATCCATGCACTTTTGTGTCATCATAATTTTATATCATGAGTACTATGTGTGACATCACTATCTTTTTTGAGTTAATAAATAATTGTAATCTTCAAGTTGTGGAATTTTGGTGTTTAACAGTTTAGCATGCAGTGTTTGACAAACTATGGCTGTAAATTCGAAATTTGACGTGTTCTCACTAGAATTAAATTATCAAGAGTATAATTTTGAATTCTATGGTTTCTTAATTCAATTCAGAATTCAATAATAAAAATCAATTTTTTTTCAGCAACTCGAAAGCATAGAGCTAACCAAGGTTTTAAATAGTAGTATATATCAAACTGCGACCCGCAGACAAAAATCTAGCCCTTTGGGTAATTCAATCTGGCCTGCCGATTCTGCCACTACTAAATCAAATTGATGTTTAAGCTGAAAATAGCTCAAGGAATTTGTTTGGGTTGTGATTAAATTTAGTTCTGACGCGGGGCTACTTGTTTTCAACTTTTGCCAGGGGCGTAGTCAAAAATTTTTCAAAAGGGGGGGGAAGGGTTTTGGATTTTTTTTTTTTTAAAGTCAAATCGAAACTGCTAGCGTGCCCGATCGAACGCTGGAATACGCGTGTTTTTAGTAGTCTTGGGGTCTAAAAAGCATTTCAAGCTACGGAAAATTGCTATCTATGATACAGAAGAATGATTTTATTTTTTTAAATTTCCAAAAGAGGGGGGGGGGGTTACACCTACAAGACCACCCCCCTGGCTACGCCACTGACTTTTGCTTGTGTGACACTGTAGAAAAAAAAGCAACTTTTTATGTCACGCGTACACGACCACACCAGTCTGGTTCCATTAAGCCTACATTTGAACCCACGACAATAGCGCCTGCATTCTATTGCACTTATGGAAATATTTTCTTGTAGGGATATTTGAACTCATAAAGAGTCATTAGTGCATGTTGGGGCAGAACAATCGAGTGGTAATGTAATAGCAGCTACTTAACTTTATATTTTTAAACATATTAACTTATAGAATACTTAATAATAGATATTAGGACCTCCAGAAGTATGCGCACCTAGATGGCGCACAACCTGAACATGGTATGTGTGTACCGGTTAGGATTCAGGTTGTGCGACATATTGGTGCGCATACTTCTGGAGCACCAGAAATTATATACCGTATGTCCAATGGCTTGAGTCACAGTTTATAATTTTCAAGCCCACAAAAACCGTTACATCACAATGAGAATGTTCTGATTAGTCATGCAACAATGACTCTGTCTCGTGTTGAGATAAACCTGATTGATTTTTGCTTTTTTATATTAAGAAATTCAATTAAAAATTGTATATAATAAATTATACACTTTACTTTGATGGAATGACGGAAAATTGATTAATTCATCAACAAATTCGAGTGCCGGTACCGTAGTAGTATATATTTACGCCGGTACCAATACGTTACCGGTAGTCTACCGTATTCTGTCGCCGTTGGAAAATTGCCCTGGTATTTATACATCTGTCCTCTGTTGGTGTGTTAGTAATTGTGATAATAGTAAACAGAGTATTGTTATTTTGTTTAAATAATAAAAATCCGTTTATATTTTACAGTAGTCTATGCTCGCTGGTTCGCCACACGGTGTCACAGCGCCATCTTGCGTCCATCTGGTACCGGTACTCATAGTCTCTGAATTTACAAAATCTGAATCATTCCTTGAGGGCATTTTTTGAGAGATAAATATTTTTTTATTATGTTTATCCTTTAAAAAACATCTGTGTTATACAGCGTGGAACTATCTTAAATCTTATCAAATCTACTCAGGCATTACCGATAAATGACATCACAATGAGATTGTTCTGACCAGACATGCAACAATGACTCTATATCGTTTGTGAATTAACCAGACCATATCTGTTTATTTTGAATTGATTTACGCCCTTTTGTGTTTAGAAGTTTGAATAAAAATCGTATATATTAAAATACATCATTTACTTCAAAAGAAACAGCGGGAAATTGTTGTATTCGGTCAGCAAAGGCGAGTGCCGTTACGGTGCCGGTAGTCTACTGTATTCTGTTGTAGTCTAGTGTATTCTGTCAGTAGTCCCGCTATATATGTTTATCCTGTGTTGGTGTGTTATTAAATCTGATATTAATTATTGAATATGATAAAAAAGTAGAGTTTTCCGTTCAAATTTGTAAATGTGTTGAAGTCTTATCGTAGTCTATCCTTGTGGTTTTAGCGCGCAGTGTCACAGCGTCATCTTGTGTTCAATTCGTACCGGTACTAGAGATGTACCGATACCACTTTTGTCGCCGATACCGATACCGATCCGATACCAGCTAAAAACGCCGATACCGATACCGATACGCCGATACTACAAAAAGGCCGATATTACCGATATTCCGATACCGATATTACCGATATTCCGATACCGATACCATGTAATTATTACTTAATTTGGTATGTTGTGTAGGGCAGACGGGTTAAAACAATGGTCTTTAAGCGTTATTCATAGTACACATTATTTCAGATCGAAAAAAAGATATATATATATCACATAATATGAAATTAATGTTTGGTATCCATATGCTGTAACTGATTAAGATACATTGTACAGTAACGCTAGTAATCTCGGTGTTCAATTAGAAAACTCATAAGCCGGGATGTCCAATTTGAATTTAATGTTGATATCGCGAGCTTCGAATATCGCTATTCGTGTTTAAAAGAATATCGAATATCACCCACACATTCTAGCGCCGCCGTCCTACGTTCAAATTAAAAGCATTTTACAAATATTTAATTTAGTGGGTAATGGTAATCGTCGACGCAATAAGTCAAAGCCAACATGAAAGAATATCAATCAGCACCGACAAAAAGAAGGCCCACCGATAACCGTTGAAGATGTTTTTTTACTTCACTATTTTATAATATTTTACAATTGCTATCATATATTTTGAGACAGTCTAGGGCTAGGCGGTCAAGTCAATATATATATCTATAAAGAAATTGTGTAGTTAAGCAGAATTAAAATTAATACTTGTGTAGTGGGATAATTGTGTTGGAATTTAGTTTATCGAAGTCGACGGACTAAATGACACTCGTACTTGACGACAAACAGTCAGAATTTATACCCGTACCAAAAGTCCATGTGCCGTTAATAAGGAAGAACCCCAATTCCACTGTATGATTGAAAACTGGGCGCCTAG